GTCTTCAGAATTTGTCAAAAAGTACCTTGTAAAGCAAAGGCTTCCTTGCTGCCAGAGCCTAAAAGCATTGGCATGAAGTACAATCCAAAGCTGGAGTTCTGGAAAGGGCTGACAGTGAGCTCTGAGCTAACAAATCCTTGACATTTCTGTTACACAAGAAGGGTTTACTTTGCATATCCCAGGAAAGAAGGAGGCATACATACCTAGGTATTATTCATATGCTACAGAACTGCATCTTACATATACTTGTCTTTCAGTAAAAAGGTTACAAAGAGAAAATGTTGCTCTTAAGTACATTTCTGTACAAGATGAACATATCTTACAAGAAGAAAAAAAAATGTTAACTGTGTTTGCTGTTCACACAGTATTGCTAAGTTCCTTTGTCACTTAGTTGATGCTGAGATTGCTGAAAACAGCTATGGAGCCCTGCCAATAGAAGAGACTGAGGATAAGAACAGGACCATGACTGCTTTATAAAAATTTAAAAACTGTGCTAGAAGATAGAAAGATATACATTGATGAGATATGTTTTTTTTGCTTTGCACTCACTCTTCTCTCACAATTATATTGAAGAATCTGTCTTCCTTCCAGCATTAACAGGAGGAAAGCCAGAGCTGGCTAAGAAGCAGCCTAAGAGAAAAGCAAGTTTCAAGGTTATTCCCTTTGCAAATAATATTGCAGATTAACTCGGCATGTATCAGCTTGTTTAGAAGGTAGTAAAAATTGGCATGTATGAAGTCAAATCTGTGTCTACCTTACTACTTCTGCTGTGTTTTAGATAACCAGAAAATAGTGTGGTTTTAATTGAGAGAAAGTGATTAACATTGCACTTCAAACTAAATGGAATTCAAGGAAGAATACAGTTTTGTTAGGTTGCAGGAAGAATTCCAGTGACTAGCAAATAATAAAAAATGCACTAGTACTTTGGACTGAAAAAACAACACAAGGAACCCAGACAGAAAAGCTCTATTTTGAATTGCTGTTGAAGGACAGTGTATGCCTAGGCCCCATGGTTATGGTTGTTGGCGATTGCTAGAATATTGTGAACAAGCAAAATGATCCACCAGATCTTTTTCATTGATTAACTGTTAACCACATGTTGTGCACATTTCTGTGGTTGTGCACATTCTGAGAGGCTGCATCAAATGTAAGTGATAAAATCCTCACCAGTTTGTATTTTTCTTGGAAATTAATAAATGAAAAATTATAGAGACCTCTTTGCATTAAATATAATTCATTCCCTTAAGTAAATAAGCAGCAAAGCAGAAGGGAGAGGCATGAGTGTCAGACTTGTCATCCACTGGATTTTCTGTCTCTACTTAAAATCAGTTTTCTTTCCTTGCCTTTCCTGTGAAAACAGTTTAATGTCTTTTGTTTTAATGGGAAGTCAGATTCAGTAAAGTTAAATTAGGGTCTTCACCCTCTGGTCGGATAGAGACCAACCCTACCAGTGGAATGGGGAGGAGAAGCAGAGGAAAGAAAAGGGAAAACCTGAGAGTTGAAATAAGAACAGTTTAATAACTGAAATAAAATATAATAATGATTGTAAGGGAAAGAAAGCACAAGAAAGAGAGAAATGAATAAACCCCAAGAAAGGCATGTGATGCCGAGTATAATGGCTCACCACCTGCAGACCAAGGCCCAGCCCATCCCACAGCAGTGATTGCCCTCTCATGTCCAACTCCCCCAGTTTATACACTGTCCTTGATGTTCTGTGCTATGGAATATCCCTTGGACCAGTCCAGGTCACCTGTCCTGGCCATGCCCCTGCCAGCTCCTCATGCATCTCCTCACTGGCCTCTGCCAGAAGGGAAGGAGAAACCAGAAAGTCCTTGATTTAGGGTAAGAGCTACTCAGCAACAGCCAAAACATCACTGTGCCTTCAACGTTGTTCCCATAATAAATCCAAAACACAGCACTGTACCAGCTACTTGGAGGAAAAAGAGCTCTGTCCCAGCCAAAACAAGGATAACGAGCTGTATGAGTCATTAAACTCCAAAGTGAGAAAAAAAGATGGCAAGATACATGGAAGGATATTGTAAAATCTGTTTTCCGTTCTTGCCTTCCACAGAAGATGAAAATATGATGCAACATCATAGTGCTATTTTGTTTTCTCTGTGAATTTCCTTCTCCCTCGTGTCTTTGGGGAAAAAAGGAAAAAGAATGCAGGGCAGAACAAACATTTGTGTTCCCCATATGTTGGCTTGCTAGGGGTATTTTGAGGCAAATGTGTGCCACCTAGGTAATGTATGTGTGGATAATCATAAAGATGAAAGACTGTAGTTAGGATGAAGATTTTGCAATGGAATTATGTTAAATTAGTTTTCAAGAGCATACAAAATTTGCTAGTGCTGGTGTTTTCCTCCAAGAGAAACCAGCTATAGTGTGGTGATCCTGAAATATAAGGGGAATCTGGAATGTAGCAATGCCAACATTGATTTTGCCTGTCTGTATTTTTGGGATGAGAGGAATAAGAGTACCATATTGATTGATGTGCCTAGTTTAATGGATTATTATTCATTGTTTGCTTTGATTATAAATGAACCCCAGAAACACTGTTGACCTGCCTCTTTATTCCTTCTTATGAGCTTTTTTTTAGTGCTTCTTTCCCAACTCTGTTTTTCATGTTAAAATACAAAAAAACCCTTGACAATAACGTCAAGATTTAAATAATTTTTATTTCTTTGATTCTGAATAACTAAACTCTTGCACTGTAAAATTAGATGCTTTTCAAAATGTCAAGCAATTGTATGATTTCTAGCTGTAATTTTTCAGAAAAATAGCATGTTTTAATGGAAAACATTTTGTACCAAGTAAGGTCTCTTAGTATTATGCTAGACATGTCACAAATCTAAAGAAATGGTGTTACTGTGGTCATGAGTAAAGAGAATTGAAAAACAAACATCTACAGACAACAAGCCAACACTCCGGGAAGAAAGGAATGTAAAGAAGGCAATTTTACTTAAAAAGGGTTCATTTTCTAATTTTCAAACAAATAGTTGAATAAGTCAGCATTCATTAAAGTGCTGCTGGCTAATAATGTATTTCTCAACTGAAGTGGAACTGTAATGACTGAAGGCTAATTAAAAAAAAAGGCACAAAACCTTCCTGACTTAAAATCATGTAATTGAAAATGTCACTGGAAATCTGGCAAGCTAAGGACTGTTGGGCTACTCCTCTCTAAATATTGTGCAAAATAAAATTGCAGTTACATAACAACAAACTGCACCAGCTGCTACATATGAGACCTTCAGAACATCTGTGTTGGGCATTGCTCCATCTCGGGATGGATGCATTCCTGCCTGCCAGACAAAACTGGCAAGAAAGTTGGGAATCATCCTGATTATGCTTATCAAGAGACATTTTAATCTGCCTTGGAGGAACAGATTTAGGTTCTTTTGTATATTGTTAAAATGTCATACTGTGTACATAAGTAGCATTTCCTTCTTTCGGTGAGAAAGCTTATCATTATCATTATTTGTGGTTCTCAGCTCAAATTAGTTTATTAAATTATTTGATATGTAACATAGGCACTTGTGCTACATATATATATACACTTTTTTTTTCATCATCTGACTAGTAAAATACACTGGACTAAATAAGTAGGTTGAACTTCCTTTGAAAAAGCAGAAGTTTTTAAAGCATAAATGACAAAGCTTTTTGCTGGCTGGCCCTGGAGTAACATAATACTGTTGCATTTCCACATTCTTCACTGTAAAACTTAATTAAAAGTAACTGAAAATAAATGCTGATTACTGTTGGCATGGTGGTAGGGATGCTTACTAATCTCCACTGAAAACAAAGGCACTCCCCACATTTTCCTATTCTCATTCACAGTTGCAACTTGAAAGAGAACAATGGAGGTCTGTGTATTGCTCTGCAGCAAAACTGGGTCTGTGTTATATATATGCATGTAAATGAATAGCTGTGTTTATTTTCATTTAGTTTGGTTATGGTCCTTTATGTACTTAATAATTTATATAAACAAAAATATTTACACTGCCATTCATATGTACTTCTATATTTCCTGATTGTTTCTTCTGCTACTGGTACCTGGGTAATCTCTTCAGCCAATGTAAGGAAGCTTAATTATGAACAAAACTTAATTGGCATTTTCAGCTAAGAAAAACATATGCTTCTCAGAGGGTAATTGCCATTGCAACTTTGTCATTGTGCTGTGTGTCCTGGAAATGAAGCAGTTTTATTTTATGCCAAAGAGGTACTAATGACATGTTGTGGTAGAATTCTTACCAAATAGTAGGATGAGATGTAGCAAAATTTCACCAGAGAATGAAATGCAGATGGTAATGGTAATTTTCTCTTTTATCAAAAATGCTTTTTCTTTTATAAAGTAGGAGTTTTTGGAAAATGGGAAGACATGTTTCCATTTTCTGGAAAATGGAGAGACATGTTTAGATGTGTCTTAAGAATAGCAGTCTTTTCAGGGCTAGTTCTGACATGTATTTCATTTTTATTACAATGCTTTGAAGATGCAAAATTTTATAGTATTGTCATATGTAAAAACAGCTGCAATGTTTAGGATCACAGTGTTCCATGAACATTCACCAGCAGCCCAAGCTGAGACACAGTAATGAGTTTTTTTAATACCTGTAATTTAAAAGCATTTGTGTAGTGTGTTACTTTTTCTCAGCTGAGAAGCCAATAACAAAATGCTAAGGTGTGATAATGAATATTTTCTGTGCAGTAATATTTTATGTGAAGTGAATGTAGAGCAGTGCTGACTGCAGAGTATGTGCATTCAGTCTTGTATATTAACAGAAAACATGATAGATCTGGTTAGGAGCGCTTTGAATCTCTTTAGAGGTAAGAACTGCATTATTTGTCTTTCCTGTTTTTTTGGTTTTTTGTTTTTTTTTTTTTAATAATAAAGAAAGAGAAGTATATTGCCTCTGAATGCAAACCATCTGTGTATTTAAGTCATGGGTGGTTGGTATTTTGCATGTTTTGATCCATGATATTGTCTTTAATTATTTTTTTAGAGTGTTCATATTTTGGAGCGAAAGGCTTCTTCAGGAAGCACAGACCCTTCTTTAAGTAAGCAATTCCTTGACAGTGATCACCTCTCTCTATCCAAGGTAAGCAAAAGCCTGGGCAGTGAGTTTCCCTCTAGAGTTACAAAGTGGTTTGACTAATACTTTAGGGGCAGTGTTTTGTATGGTTCTACCATTAAATATGAGTGAGTCTGCCCTGGAGCATATTGTTCTATAACTGAGGAGTAAGAAGAGCCAGTTATCTTTAGTAGATGTTATATTAACAAAATTAGGGATTGGTTTGGGATTTTTTTTTCATGTGGATGGCACCAGCAACAAATTTTACTTTCTCAGAAAATGGGGCTGTAAGGGCCTTTGATGATCCTTTGAGACCCGTCTAACTCAGGATATTGCATGATTCTATGACTTTGAGTTTTCCAGTTCAATCCTCTTATTAAGGTAGAGCAAATCATACCCAAATCTAAAATTTCTGCCAATAAATATTAGTTTTAAAAATATGTCCTAGTAACATCCCTTGTGTGTAGTTTGAAATTTAAAAGCTTTTACTGAGATTTTCTTTCCTGAGGCAGAGTAAAAGATGCAATTGCAGGGGTGACATCACCCTCGTAAAAAGTGAAGCCTTGTGTGTGTTTTTTGAAATCAACTTCTTTCTGGATAAATTGCTCAGTTTTGGAATAAGTGATTCCAAACAAGTCTAATTCCGCATAAAGAAAGTTTCATTTTAAGATACTTCAGATGCAAAAGTAAGGGTGCAGAAGAAAAGGTGAGGGTGCTGTGATGGAATATTTGGTGGAAAATAAAAATCTGAAACAAAATATCTGTAAGTTTTGAAACAGACGTGGTAAAACAATTTTGAAAGGAAACATTCTGTTCATCCAGGGAAAATTAAATGGTTTATTTGTTTTCATTTGGAAAATAAATATTTTGCAGTCAAAACTTGAGAAAGCAGTTGGTAGTGGCTCCCTTAATCCCCAAACAAGGGGCAGGTGTGCAGAGCCAGGGACTGAAAGCTGTGATTGTATTCCCCCAGTCATGCTGCTTTGCACAGGGCTGTTTCTCATGGAATACCTATGGAATCACTGAAGTCCTAAAATACTGCTGCTGCGCTTGAGAACTGGCCCTGGATGAGGACTCTTCAAGTGTATCACTTTCACTCTGTTTTTTCCCCATTTTTGTCTCTCCTTCATAATGGCCTTTGTATTGGGCATATCTCAATACCCCAAAACTGCGGGGTGAGGCACAGTTAGGATTAAGAACAGCTTGTGGCACTGATGCAGCAGGAGACAAGTATCCTCACTGCACTGAATAATTGCTCATTTTATCCCTCTGTATCTGGTCTTTTGTTTAAATGAATAGCTGTATGAGATTGTGTAGTTTCTAGCTGAGAATTAATCAATACTGATGTTATCTAGTAGATAAAAGACTTATGCCTGCAGCTGATCATCTAAAAGAGAAATCAATATGGTGAAGAATCAGTTGGCAGAGATGCAGAGACTCTCTGCTGGTGTATGACTTAGAGTTTAATTTGTCCCCCTCAGGTGCCAAGGACTTCCATGTAGGGAGAAAATAATACATATGTGCTTCCTCTATAGAATGGAAATAGAACACTGAAGCAAAACACGGGGAAGTAAAACAAAGCTGCATATTGAGTAGGGGATTTACAGACAATGAGATGAATAGTTCATGGTTATTCAGGGGAAACTAAGCTGAATAAAGAGTTCTATTATAATTTACGGCAGTATTTATTATTTGGGATAGAGCTTTTCACCTTTCTCAAATACTAAGACCTTATTCAAAATTTAGTTTTGAAATTTGCTGTTACTTTTGCAACTATATTTTCATAATAGTAATGTTGATGTTATCAGGGCTGTGTAGTTTATTTGGAGGTGCTGTGAAAGACTGACAGCACTTGGCTCTGAACAGTTTTGTTGGAAATATGGAGACAATTTTTTTCCCTTTAAATGTTTGATGCTATATGACCTCCTTCCTCTCTTATTAACTTTTCATAACATTGCTTGGAGTTATGACAGATCAGCTGAGAAAATGCAAGTTTACAGCTTTGTAGGGTATAATTAGTAAAACATAGTCTGAGGAATCTGGCAGTAAGAGATTTTTAAACTGGTGCAGAATTTTTTTAATTACAGTAGTAGCAAGAGGATAGAAATATACTCTAAGAGAAAATATGACCCCATCTTTTTCTCTTTAAAAATATTGTTCTTTACCTGTTCCCTGTGTTACATTGTAAATCTGTCTTGAGCTGCACCAGTTACCATGCAAAACAAGTGATATGTACCAGAAATATGCTTTAATTGGCTCCATGCAAGGCATACAACTGGTTGTTTCTTGAATTATACTGTTCCTCTATTTTTCCCTAGAGAGAAAATTAGTTAGCTTTCCTATAAATTTCTCATAATACAGTGAAAATGAATGCAGGGAAAAGAAATCTTCTTGCACATTTCTGAAGGCTCAATTAGCAAGTGAAACTCTGTCATAAAATGCCTTTGAAGATTATCACTAGCTACGCTCAAAATCAACAGTAAAGCAACATCTTCTGTTAGTTTTTCTGATTTGGAGGAAAAACTGGGGCATTCAGAAACAATGTAGCTTGTACTTTAAGATCAGAAAATTTAAATTTCTTTATAATTAAGAAATATCACAAAGGGCACTCTTACTATACATCTTACCTGGTAGAGGTTAGACATCTGAAAATGTTTGTATTTAGTAGTTTTAAATGAGATACAGCTAGACATAATATAGTGACCATATAGTTTGGTACCTCAATAGATTGACTTAAAAGCCTGACTCCTCCTCTTTGTCTTGCACTGAAGAATTTGTGCCACTCCTAAATGCAATTTTTTACCATGTGTGTGCAAAATTAATTAATCAATGTGTCTTCATGCTTTTTCATCAGGAACCTGACAGCTGGGAAATCATAGAGGGTCTGAAAATAGGCCAGACCAATGTCCAGAAGCCAGACAAACATGAAGGTTTCATGCTGAAGAAGAGAAAATGGCCACTAAAAGGTTGGCACAAGGTAAATGTCTCATAAACCAGCCAGAATGTTATTACCTTATTTTATGAGCTGGATTTTTTTTGTCTAGACAAAATTAGGATGTCAAATAAATGCCCATGATTTTAGTGAATGACTATTTCTTCCACCTCTGTATGGAATTAATTTGCAGACACAGTTCATGGCTCTCAAATCACAGTCCCTGCTGCCTAAGGTTGTATTCAAAATCCAGAGGGAATTTGTGAATAAAATTGATCTGACCCTCCAAAAAATCAATTAATGAGGTATTTAAGAATTTATGGAGTAAACCACTGCTCCCACACTTTTAAAATACATTATATTAATGTGTTGCTATTTAGCGAAGTGTCTGTTTCGGTATGGAGCTAATTTATAGGAGAGCAAGAGAAGTCCAACTTTCACAGTTCTGTAAAGGCAATCACTACTGATGATCTAGATGAATTTAAAGACATGTGGTTACTTGTGTAGATAATTTTTAATGTGATTAAGAACTTCACATTTTAGCATCCCCCTCTACTCTGCCTTACATTTCACCTTGGGAACTATGCTGAGCTTAGGTTTTCAAACTTTGGGTTTGTTAATAAGTCACTAACAAACTTCACAAGAACATGAATATCATGTTCTTATGAAGTTTTTTAGTGACCATACCTATGGAAAAAAAACCCCAAAATGTTCTTGTTGTTTTGACATCTTATTCAAGAAGTTACATCTCCAAATGTTCTGGTTTCAGCTGGGGTAGATAAAAGCACCATTTTCCTGCCCTGTGTTACAGGGTAATCCTTCTCCAGATGAATTGTTGTACACAGTTTAAATTGCATCTGCTCATTAAGAAAGAATGTTGTTTGATTTTTTTTCTTATAATTTCAGAGGTTTTTTGTCCTGGATAATGGAATGTTGAAATATTCAAAGTCACCAATTGATGTAAGTAGAGCTGAAGACTTTAAAACTTCTAATGAAGTGCAGCCTGCTCATACTCATTCTAGGTATATTTATGAAAGTACACACATGAAAGTTGTTGATGGATATAAAGATAAATAATGTAAGATTTTGGTTGTGTCTTCCAAGAATTCTACCTTTTTTATTTCTATGGAAATATAAGTTAAATTACTAAAGGTAGTTTCTTGAATAAAGCTGCTTGAGAGATTAACCTGACCATGTATTTTTCTTTTCTAATTTTTATGTCAGCCAGAGCTGATTATTCTGAGACATGTGGATAGGACAAAGAATTAATACCAATTATTTATATTTTATACCAATAAGTACCAAGTCATAGAAATAGGGTGTCAAGTACTTTCTAATTTTCTCTGCTTCTCACTTACCTGTACCCGTGCACTGGTGTGAATAACTTAACACACCTAAATTTTGGCATTGTATCAGCATTTCTTGTGTGATACTTTTCTCTGACTATAAATATACTAAGTGGTTAAATGGTTAGTCTGAGTGCAGCTTTATTTTTTAATGTGGCTTTATGCTATAATGTTATAAAATGGGAAGCCATTTCAGTACTAGATAGTATTCTGTAAGATATATAGAAAAAGTGCATGATACTTCTAAATTTTTACCCTGATGATTTTATTTTAGATACAGAAAGGAAAGGTCCATGGGAGCATTGATGTTGGTTTATCAGTCATGTCTATAAAAAAAAAGGCTCGTAGAATAGATCTTGACACAGAAGAACATATCTATCACCTAAAGGTAAAAAGTAAAACTATATACTGTATTTTCATCCTCAGTAGAAACATAAAAAATTTCAAAAGATTGTGCAGAAAAGTAGTATCTTGACTGCTTTCTTGATAGTAAATTTTTCTCCAGGTGAAATCCCAGGATTCATTTGATGCATGGGTTTCAAAGTTACGGCACCACCGGCTGTACCGTCAGAATGAGATTGTGAGATCTCCCAGGGATGCCAGCTTCCACATATTCCCCTCAGCATCTACTACAGAGTCTTCACCAGCTGCCAATGTGTCAGATGGAAAGGTGTGCAGCGTTCCTTGGTTGAAAACTCATGGCTGGCTTGTGGGCAGTTTCAGTGGGCTTTTCTTCTAATGCCAAAAGGACAGGAGCTTCCAGTGTGGGAACCGATGGCCAGTGAAAAGCTGTGAGGGTGTGCAGCTGAAATCAGCTGAAATACTGTCTAATTTAGCCTTACTTCATTAGAATGGGCTGCTGTAGAGATCCTGCAAAGTATTCACCACCTGTACAGTTTTCACTAGCCTTTGCCACCAGGTATAAATCTGTCTCTCTGCTGATTATGTTCTTCCTCTTAAACAACAGTTTCCTAACTGGTACCTAGCACGGTCCACTGGTGAGGTTCCTGATTTGATTCTCCAACATGCTATTCTGAAAAATCTGTGTCTTTGGGAGCTATGGAGAGAAATTATAGATTTCACTGAAAACACAATGAATAATTTAGCTTCTATCCTGAAGTAATACAGTCATTACCCTGACAAAGCAACACAGCCGCAGTAAATGTAAGCGTTTTATTGTGCTTTAGGTGCAACAAAATAACTTCCCCTGGCAGCCTCCCATACCTTGCAGTAACAGCCTTCCCGTCACCTGTACTACTGGTCAGAGTAAAGTAGCAGCCTGGTTGCAGGACTCTGAAGAGATGGACAGATGTGCAGAAGGTTAGCCTTTATCTTTTCATGCCTTGTTCTTTCAGCAAAACCTCTTGTTGATATAGGAGAGTCCTGTAAGTAAGGTGGTTTACATCTTTACATAAACATGTAGTAGCTCTTCAGATAATTGGAAACTTGGTGGGAGCTTTGCTGTCTATATGTTTTGGGATGTTGATTTTAAAATTTATTGTAATAATCTGTGCTATTTTGATGGATGTCATTATTCAAATATGATCACTTCTTGAAGTCCAGAGTTGCTGCTGACTCCTATAGACATAACAAGTATTCAACAAAAGAAAACTTTTACTTGGGTGCCTTACTACACGGGGTTTGAACACTTAAGTTTTGTCATGCAATTAAGTGCAAGCAATTGACACTATGGCAATAAAAAGTCTGAATTGAAGCACTTAATGTATTTTTATTTTATATATCCTAGATCTTGCTCATTGTCAGTCTAACCTTGTGGAACTCAGTAAACTTCTTCAAAATTTAGAAATACTACAGAGGACTCAGTCAGCACCAAATTTCACAGATATGCAGGTAAATATGCTTGAACATAAATCATTACACTGAAATATTTGTTCTTTCTGTTAAGGGAAATATAGAGGTGTTGTCTATTAACTCAGAATATTTATCTGAAATAATAATGAACCTTGGATGAAATGCTTATATGTCTATTTTAATCTTGTGTAATACTGTTTCTGTTTCATGTGTAAACAAGTAATTAAGATGTATTCAATATTTGAGTTAAATAGAACAAATTAAATGATTAAGTAATTTAAGCAAAACAAAACTGAGGACTGTTACAATAGAACACATGTATAAATTGAAGTTATATTTGAGGAGTTTTTGTTGTGTTAAGATAATATTTTAAGTTTTTTAAGGATTGGAGACCCAAAGACCCTCAAAGATGAAGTTGCATGCTCTAGAAAAGGGGGCATAGTACAAAGGTCCCAAGTTTTGGACTGTTTCCCAGTTCAGGGTGAGTTTTCCTCTTACCAGAAAGCAACAGCAGATCCTAAATCATAGATACTCTCTTGCATTTTCACTGAATCTTCTTGTCTGTATAAATGTCTGAGTAGTACCACAACAGAAATCCATGAGGATTTCAATATCATGTCCTAAATATTGTGCACCCATGAAAAGCAAGGGTACCAGTAGTTTTGCTAAAGCAGCTAACAGTACCACGTGTTTATGAAAGTGTATGGATAGCTACAGCTGATCACTGCTCCAACTTCGGGCCCCAGTAGCAGCATTCTTCTCCTTATATTCTAATTTGTACTTGTCTAATGCTACAATTCTTTACTAACTTGCTGTATTGTCTGTGTTGCTTGTGTCAACTTAATAGCACTTTGTCGCTTTTAACTATTTGTGTAATGTAGGCTAACTGTGTAGATATTTCAAAGAAAGACAAGCGGGTCACGAGACGATGGAGAACAAAAAGTGTCAGCAAAGATGCAAAAATTCAACTTCAGGTACTGAATGCACTATGTTTTACTTTTCACTGTACTTTGAGATTAAATCTAAGCATGAAATGATAAATTAGCTGAAAGTAGGAACAGTGCTGTCTTTCATGTTTCTGATGAAGTAAATTAAGTCTCAGTTTGTTTTTCAAAACCTAGAGAAGATAGTGAGAAAAGTACTGATTTTATTTTCATTCATATGAAAATATTGCCATCTAGGGAAAGGAGTGGGATCTGAATATTAGTCAGTTAAGGTATTCAAAACTCAATATACACACACCATATGGGTATACTGCTATTCTATACCAAAATTGCAAAGAAGGGCAACTGCCTTCAAGTGAACAAGTGATGTCAAGTTAAAAGCAGAATGAAATACTAAACACATTAGTATTCTTTATCAAGGCCTATACTGAGAATATTACCAATTATAAGTACTTTCACAAGCCTCCTGTTATGTAAAAGGCTAATACGGGAACAAATAAAATGACCAAGAAATAAATTATGTTAAGGAAGAATTTACTCCATCCTTCCCTAGAACTGAAAGCACAGAAATAAGCATATTGTGCATATATTGCTGCCTTGTGTTTTGTTGGAAGCAGTTGTGTATTCTGAGGTTTGATCTAAAACCTGATCTTTTTTTATAATTAAGCGACTGATAATGAGGACTATTCAATTGGCTTTGGGAGCCAACAATCACCACTGTGATATCTGTTACTGAGTAAATAAATGTCAGCAGCTTTTAATCCATTCAAATATCTTGAAATTAGTACAAACTTTGAAAGCTTTTAATATGTCCCCAATAGGCACATTAAGGAGTTTTCATTTAAGATCAATAATCTTAAGGAAGGAAGAGGTGATAGTTGCATCAGCTTTCTCATTGCAGCTCTTGTAGTTTATTTTTCTTTTTACCTATTATACTTTGATAATCACAATAGGTAGAACAATGAGATATCTGTTTGGATTAAAAAGGTTTATTAACAAAGGAATTTTTGTGATTGATGTCATGTCATGCAATTGAATGGTCACATTTTTCCTTGGTGCTGAATAACAGAGAAATTAAAATATCAGTAAAATGCATGCAAATACTTCATGCCTATGAAGAGTCAGTCACTTCTGCATGTTCTTTTTTCATGCCACAGTAACCTCAGAGAATCCTAGCCACAAAAATTATGAAAGCAGTCAATGTATTATGATTTATGGTTAGTCATAGTGAATAATGAGCTGTTCCCATGTTACCTACACTTTGCTGAAGTAACACCGGCCTGGACTTCCATCAAAACTGCTGTTTGTGGTTTGGCAGGGGTGTGCCTCAGCTCTTGAAAATTTCAAATAGGGTTGCAGGTTCCCCTGAGATCGTTTGTGTGCATGGCATTGCTCTACATGGGTCTGTCACTTCCAGATTGATAATGAACTCTGCCTAACTTGGGTCAGCATTAATTCCTGCCAGAGTTCTTGCTGCAAATATAAAGCTTATTTTCTTATAGCAAAGTATTAAGTTATTGTTGTCTGATCTATAAATTAATTTGCAGTAAAACAGAAACAATAAAATTGTTCTAAATTATATGGAAGACAAAGAATACTTGATGGCTACTCCATTATCTTGCCTAGTTTGATGGACTCAGTTTATTCTTCCAAGGGCTGTCCTGTCTCCTGAGTGCTAGAGCTGTGGTCTGTAGGAAGATGGCCTCACTGACTCATTGTGTTATTCCTAATTTCTTTAGGTTGCCACTAAAATGTGGATGTCCTCTGATACCTGCAAAACCTTTAAGCTATTTCTCATTTTGTTCTTCTATTAGAAATGCCTTCTACTTTATTGGTTTTCCTTATTGCTCATTTTTTTAAGACTGCTTCAAGTCTTTCTGATTTGTTTTTTAGGATATCCCCTACTGAGAATCATTTTGTCTGATTTGTGATCATTTTCTTAATGGTGCTTTCACATAATTTGGTATTGAATGGTTGACATTTGGTACCAGTAAGATTTCTGTTGTACTATTACTTTCCTCATACCTTCCTGCATCTCATTAGTTTTACGGAATAATGCTAATATTAACAAACTAACTTTCAGCTAGTTTCACTGTTAATTCCATTTGGAGTACTTGCACCTATTTTTGTCATCATTGAAGTACTTTTAATTTGGAGTATTTTCACCTATTTTTCAGAATGAGCAGTTTTTAGCTACATCAAAGATGTTCTGATAGTACAATGTTGAGAGCATCCTTCTGGGGAGCATAAAATTAGGGAGGTCTATAAAGATGTGTGCTTTGTGAGTGATGGGGAATGAGGGTATGATTTCTGCTGGCTCAGTATTCTCTGTGTGTGAGGCAAGGAGGGAATCCTTCCATCCAGGTTTTGTATTGTACTTGTTAACATTCTTTTGTTAATGAGATAGCTTTTGTTGGATTCCTGCTAACACATTCTTGCAGTATGAATGCTAGGTGCATAATGTATTTAAAACATACTTTTTCATGTAAGTAAAGCGGCTTGATTTGTTTCTTAGACAGTAATAATTACCACTTAAATATGCCAGTTTTGTGTGCAGTTGACTTTGTTCACACAGCTAATCCCTGTAACTTGAGTGGGGTTACCCCCTGAAGTAAAACTGAGTATAGCATGTGTCTGTACATTTGCAGGTTTGGGTGTTTACTATTGCTAAGTTGTTTAGAATTAACAGCTCAATTTACCGGCCTTTACTTAAGAGTAATACATTAATTGCTTCTCTTAAGAGAGATTGGTTTTATGAAGGAGGTTCATTTTGTTTTTAAAAAGCCTATTCAAAATCTTGTGAAAATGGCCTGCAAAAACATGTTAGTTGACCTGTATTAATTCATTTTACAAATTATACTTTTGTACAAGAACTGAGTAGTGGGTTTTGTTTTTTTGGTTTTTTTGGGAAGTTTTCTTTTTTTTTTTTTTTTTTTAATATTATTTATTTCCCTTTGGGTAAAAGGTTAAGTTATCATTCTCTTAACAGCTTCAAAGGAACAAAAAAGATTACTGCAAAGCACAAAGAACCAGTGATATTTTGGTTTCCCACAAAAGCTCAAAGTTCTAAAGTTCCAAGACTTCACAGGGGGAATAGTTTAATAGAGAGCCGTGTATTATGGATTAATCTGAAAGATCATCTTGCTTTACTGAGGCTTTCAGCTCAGAACTGAAACCAGATCCAGGCTAGTTATTACTTTTTCCCTTAAGTAAGGATTTCTTTTTATGGTAACTCAGATTGTGACCTCACTTTCTATTGTGTTGAGGAGAGTGTGTGGTTCTGCAAAGCTCACTATTCCCATTTTAATAATGCATACTTGCATTCATAATCTTGTATACGTATAAATTTGTGCATATCTCTCTCTGTACATGGGTTTGTCCCTATTATTTAAATAAGAATATTCTTCCATACTCTTATTCACAGAATGGACATATTTTTTGGAGCACAAAGAGCTTTACATTATGCATATGATCTGTTGTTTTAACAGAATTTGTTCTCAGTATTTCAGAGGTTATGCACACAGCATTTTAATGTGAAAATTGTATAAAATATTATAAAATATCCACAAGTCTTTTACTGTGATCATTAGACAATCCTTCCAGCTGTCCATGGCATTGCCACTAATATCAGCCAGAGGGTGAAATGTTTGGCCATTCTCCACTGTCCCAACCCTACTGGGAATGTTACAGAAGCAAGACAGTTCAGCTAATAATTGAAATACAATATCCTGTTCTTCAGCATGGTGTCCATTTGTCCAATCTGCACATTGTTATTTGTATGACGATCAGGCTTCTTGCAGAAATATAGATCTAAAAATGCTGTAGTGGCTATAGGTGAAGAAATATGTAAAGGAGTTTTCTAAAAGCAGAAACATGTATTTCGTAGTTTTCCAAAATGTTAAAATGACTTCAAAATAATGGCATTTTGATTAAATATTAAATAGAATGACTTTATGACAGATATGGAGCTCCTCTGTATTAGACAGTTACTTGCTTGACTTTAGTGTACAGTGAAAAAATTTCTTGCAAGTAAAATTAAGCAGGATGAGGCCAGAAGTTAGACCTGAAGAAAAGGAAGCAGTCATTGAAATACATAGTTTTTATTTGTGCTTCTTTATCTGAGATTTTGCCTTGGTCTGGAAGCCAAGCCTTCAATTATGTGGACAAGCAGGTGGAGCTCAGAAAAGTGATATGTGTAGAAAATGATTCAATAGGCTCAAGGATGGATGTGGAAATGCCAGAGCTGTGTACAGGAATATTTACTTAAGAAAACTCACTAGATAACATACACACTGAAAAATTTTACCATTGAGCCACATACATCTTCAGTGACCACAGTTTATGCACTTCCACTATTGCAAAGTGATCTCTTTCAGAATTCATCTTCTAGATGGTCAAATGACTCCAGAAGGAGTTTGATTTTTTTGTTTTATTTTCTGGCATGCTGTAGCATCCTTTTAGTTCTCTTATTTCATTATTGCCTTATTACTCTGAATGGCAATGCTAGTTGATTTGTTTTTTGTAGCATTAGTGAGTGCACTGCAGTCCAACTCATCTGGAGATAAATTTAGTGAAGTATCCAGCTTTTTATGTCTCTGGCATGCACAGCTGAAAACACATGATATGTCCTCAACATGTGTAGGCCATAAGAGTAAACAAAATGGAAACCCACTTAAAGACTCTCCCTCTCCCTTTTCTGATCACCTTTCATCTTCCTGTGTCCCATCACCCCTTCCCTTCTCTTTCTCTACTTCCTTCTTTTCTTGCATTCACTGTCAGGAAGGGCCGGCACCGAAGGGCCAGTTCAGCACAACACGACGCCGGCAGAGACTGGCAGCTGCAGTGGCTACAACAGTGAGTGGACTTAAAAATCAAGGGATAGCTCTAAGGATGGGAAGCTGTGTAACTTGATTGTGTAATAAATAAGCTTATGAAAATGTTTCTTGCACTTTTTGGAGGTGTCCGTGCTACCCCCTTTCAGCTGAGTTCCTTAGAAGTGGTCAGACCCAACACAAATGTGCTCCATAAATGTGGGTCTGAGCTTGTGTACGTGGTACACATCCCTCCTCTTTTATGTAAGTGCAAGTGGCAGACTCAGGCCCTGCACAAATAAAGTCTTTGATGGACTATACAGAATAGAAAATAAAAGATCAAATTCTGTTAACAGATGTTGTGACCGTTATAGCAAGACAATAGAATTAAGGAGATTTGTTACAAATAACCGTGAAATTATAAAATTTCCTGATATTTCTATAAGTAGCATAAGGTTAGTCGTTTCATTTGAGGCACTTTCTGTTTATGTTCCATAATCCCAAAAAGTCATATTACTACTCAGTGTCTGTATGTAGTTTTGCTAATTCTCTAAGTTTTTGTCAGAAAATAGGGAGCTATGAAATCAGCACCAGGGCTGGGAATTAATTGTGGGAAGTCCTGTTTGTGAAATTGAATTGCCATCAAGAGGATATCTTCAGCTGCTGCTTTATCAAGAAAGTACTCATTAGGAAGGCCCAATATAGACATTTATACTAATCCATCAACAGATAAGTACAGCAGCTAGATAGGGAAGACTGTTCAGCCAAAGTCTGAAGTGAGCTTTAATGCAAACTCCTTATCTATCCCAAGCAGCGAATGTCTTCACCAGGCTGAGGTGTTCCAGGGTCTGCTGTTCCAGGCCAAAGCTAAAATCCCTAGATCTGACATAGTTTCTGGTTAAGCCTATCTTGAGCTTCTGCTACCTGAACCACAAACTCAGTTATTGCTATGTTCTTTTAAAACATATGAGACATATCAGTGTTTCTCCAGCTTTGAAATTAACTCATCTAAATTTATCCCTCTGTAATCAGTTGATGCTGAACGCGTGCTCTGTAATTGATTGCTGTGTCAGTCTGCTTGCCTAGCCCAGACACCTGCCTGATTCCCAGTTTACAGGGCTGAGCAGTGTTGGTGGGAGGCTCTAACCAGAAGGCTCAGCAGCAGTTGAACAGCTTTGGCAAGGGCTGTACTTCATACCTAGAGAGTGCTTCGGGAGACAAATGCAGCTGGGCTGGGGTTGGGAGGCGCTACGAGAACAGGGAATTGCTGAGATGTTACCTGCAGCTCGAGTGAGGACCTGTTAAGGGAGGTTCTGGAGGAGCTGGACAAAATGCAGGAGGAAGGAAAGCTAGAGGCACCAAAGTGACTCTGTGGCTGTTGCAGTGTTCCTGGCCATGGCCTGTTCTTCCTGGCTGATGCACAAAATGGTTGTTTCTCCCAAACAGTGAAGCTGTGTGCATGGACTGAGGGATACAGAATTATATCAGCTAAATGTACAGCAGAAAGAGGTTTGCCTTACAACCCACTCATCCAGGAACAGTCTGTTCCTACGTGAACATGTAATTCTGAGGAAGGTGATGGATGAGTGGGTACAACACCTCTGGTGTAAAGCAGGAAGTTGGGACAAGGTTCATCTGAGGTTGTGGCTAGAAGTGTCTGTGTGGGGAAAACTAGAGGGATGGATCAAGAAGCTAAATATTTTTTCAAAAACCTTCAAATCAGCAACAATAAAAAACAACGAAAAGGAGAATAGGTAGTAAAGTCAGGATCAAGTCACCATTAATACAGAGAGAAAGCACAGCCGTGTAAGGAAAAAAGGGGAAGATAATTATATTGGCAGTGTTTCCTGGACTGTTGCCTATTCAAGAGAATGAAAACGGCTGTTTAATGTGGGGTTTTTTTCATCTGTTACGGAAAGTAGCTTGGAAACTTTTCTAAAAGAGTTCATGTGAATCAACAGTTCAGTATTTTTGGTTCTTGAATTTAAAGCAGTCAGCAAGGCTACTTGTCTCTGTCATGTGAATGTATATTTCTTGCAAGTAGTGCGACATATTTGTAGAACACATAAATTGCATTTTTAGGGCTTAATTGAACATAGTATTTTTTTTTCAATAAACATCATTGCAGAAACCTTTCTTTTTAACCTGGCCGTCTGAGGTTTGAGGCAGAAATGGTGAATCTAAAGCAGATCTCTTCAGCTTGATTCATCAGAGAATGACTAAAGAGCCCCCCTGCATGTGTGGGCAGCCTGCCTACTGCTCTGCCAGTCCCTGTGGGTCTGGGGAACCTCCCCCATCACCGCAGACATGTGGAGCTGGGGGGGACTCTCCCTCAAGCTCCAACTTTATAGCTGGTGTCAGCTTCTTTCCTGCCTTTGGATTGTCTGGAGGGTTGGGTATGTTCTCCATACGCACAGGTACAGTGTAGATACCTACTTTGCTCTTCTGGAGCCACCTGGAACAGTTGAAGCTTTGTGATGCTCCCAGCCAGAAAGTTCTGGAAACATGCTCTCCCATTTTAGAAAGGGAAAGGTCTTGGAAAAGTAATTTGAAATGAACCTACGTTTAGCCACAATAATCCATTAACATAGTGTTATGCTGGGGTCTTGAGACAGGCAACCTGGTAATTATGAAGAAGATAAAGGGTTTAAATACCCAGTATGAATAGAAAGAATTTATTCTACATCTTCTGTTAACAAATTCTTCTTGATATGCAGCTAAAATGAGGTCAAATAAAAAAATATGTACTTTGTTGATATAGCTGGAAATCAAAATAAATGAGAGCAGGAATAAAGCTTATATGAGACAGGTACCATAGACTTACTATTTAATGTACTACATGTATCTGGAAACCAAGAAAGAACAGCATGGGAAACGTATTTCACAGAGTACACTCGTGAGTGGAATGATTAATAGATCCAACAGGATTTTGAGGGTTTAATTAGATAAACAGAACCTAAAACTAAAATGTGTAATGATGTCAGTTTTTACAGAAAGGAATTCATAAAACTGTTTCAAATAACAAAGTACCAAGTTCAGCCACTGATGACAGTGGTTCTAGAACTCATCTGTTGATAATAACTTTTAGTAATATGACTTTTTATGTTATCTTCTGCTCTGTATCATGCCTTGGAAGAGACATTTTATATTTTGGCCCCATTTTTCATATTTGAATGATTACATTGGGCTGCAGTGTGAAAATGCTTGATTTATGCATTTGATCAATCTAATGAAATTAAGTAGATTTAATGTACTAAACAGTGCTTGATACATTAAACTGTGGTTAATAGTTAAGTGACAAAATGTAATTCTGCATGCCTTTCTGTTGCATTTACAGTTGAAAATTTTGTTCTTGGCCTGATTTTCATATAAATGCGTGTAAATGGTAACATTAAAGTAAAATACAAAATACTCTTGCACACACATCACTTATATAGCAGTGGTAGCCATACAGTGCATGTAGCATACAGGTAACTTCTCAGTACATGATACATGTATATATAACTTAGAAAATCTTGCATTTACATTTTTTTTTATTGCTGTACCTGAAAAGTAGAGGGGAAAGCAAAGTAGAAAGATAAGAAATTAAATTATTTGCTTGATCTTACTAAACTGTATCTCTCTGCATTTATTTGTGGTCTATGTATTTTAAATGAAAATCAGGTGGAGTTTTGATTTTAATGTCTTGTTGTTATTGTGTATTTTTTTAGTTAAAAAGATAATAGAAAGACTGTATGCTTCTTTCATCTTTATAATTGCCAGTACAGTGAGTTTCAACTGAAGATTTTTGAGTAGTTTTGAAAAACTTCAGTGATATATCTGATAATATTATATCCTATTTCTAGATCTGTGGAGGAATTCTCATACTTCAAATGTTGGTATTGCAACAACAGACTCATCTACAATTACTCTCAAATGTCCAGATATACAGGAGCATATCTCATGGTTCAATTTTCCAGTAATCTTCTAAGCATTAGGAGATCATCCTTTTTTTTGTAAACATTAGAATTAAATACTCCATCATTAGCTGTTAGATGTTAGGCCTTCTTTTTTATATTTCAGTGAAAAAATTCAAGAGAAGTCTGCATCAGCTGTGTTGATATTTAGGAGAGTAAGAAGTTACATGTTCACTCTTGCCATATTCTTCGCATTATGAACTAAGTCTTTTCAAAAGAAATTTTTGTCAAAAGTTTTGTTACAGCTTTTGCAACAATTCTTCTATTTCTTGCTGTAGGTCCCTTTCAGTGCTACAATGTCACCCGTTCGATTGCATTCATCCAACCCCAACCTTTGTGCAGACATTGAGTTTCAGGCTCCCCCCAGCCATGTGACAGACCCTCTGGAGTGCTCTACTGAGTACATGAAGCTTCAAGAAGAATTCTGCTTGATGGCACAAAAAGGTAGCTGGAGATGCCCAGCCTTTCCTGTAATGTGCTTCTCTGTTGTGTTTCTTTATTGGCCTCACTTAGTTATGGTCAGGGCTTTCATCTGTGTTGGGTGATACTGTGTAAGAGTTTTTAGCTGTTCAAGTGGCTTATACAAAGGCAGTATATATTATCCTGCATATATTTTCCGTGCATGTAATAAATGTAGAGGTAGGCAAACTCTGAAATTGTTTTTGAAGTCTTCTGAACTGCTTTCTCTGTTCTGTAAATAAGTGGCTGAATTTGCAAACATCTTTTTTTCCTCAACAAAATAAATTATTTCTCCCCAAAGATTATTCAGAATGTAACTGATTCATTTTTGTGCAATGTTTTCTGTGTCAATGGAATCAATGGAAAAGGAGCTTATTACAGGAATGTACTTTTGAATTGCAATTTTATTGCCAGTAAGTGAATGGTCCTACAAACTGAAAAATACAATTTTAAAAAGGTTTTCTTATCAGTTTGCTGTTCTATAACAAGCACAGAAAAAATGTGAGACTGACATCTTAAAAAATTCAAAACCTGTTTAAAGACCAAGTAATCCTCTTTATTAGTACAATACTAGTTGATTCTAGCAGAACTGATGTTTCTGTTACTCTGAAAAGTACAAATAAAAACCATAAAGAAAATAACACATTTTGGACACAATTTTTCCAAATATCCACCTTTCCATATGTTCAGCACCAAGAATATGCTCAGATGAGATACGTGTGAACACACAGCGCATTGCAATCGCAAGCTGTAAGTGTTTGTACTTAATTTGGCATGGATTACTTGAAGTTCAGGCCCTTGTTTCAAATGTCCATTACTGTGGGATGGAAGTCTCACTCTCTGTCTGTATTGCTGAAATATTGTGAGATGTCGATGTGATTTCTGTAGCCAAGAAAATACCTGTTTTATTTTTTTCTTTTTGCTTAGTGCATTCTCTTTTGAAGTCTGCCTTTAACAGCATAGCTATAGAGAAGGAGAAGCTTAAACAGATTGTTTCAGAGCAGGATCTTACAGGCCACAATGCTCAAATAGCTCACCTCAGACAGTCCCTCTCTCAGGTATGTTCTTGATTTTATTTCAAGCACATCTGTCTTGCCCAGTGCAGTATTTCTTTTGTATTTTGGCCATTTCCTTTCACCTCAAAGAAGCCAAGAAAAAGCCAAGTTCTCAGCCAGAACTATGGCATATTCTGTTATGGTGTAAATCTAGCCTCACTGCATGTGGAGGTTAAGGATATCATTTGTGGAAGCATGTATCTGTTATGGTTTTCCAAAGTAAAGGAAAAGGATCAAATATTTTTATACAAATGCTAAATGTTTTTCTTAGAGCTGTCCCAGCACAGCCAAGGGAATACTTTTGTTTTTGTAATTAAGTTTTTAATTTTGACCATATGTTGTCAGGTTTGTTTTATATGTCCCTGTCTCTAAATGCCAAAGGAATCCTGGGTTGCATTATAGTCATGGGTTTCCAGATATAGACCTGTAACTCTCCAGCATCTGTCCTACTTAAACTAGAGGAAAAAATATAATTTGCTTTAGTGCGGGAGAAAAAATTAGCAACAATAAGTCCTTAGGTTGCTAAATAACTCAATTTTTCAAAATTCATTGTCAAGGAAGCATAAAAGCATTTGCTGGATTGGTGTGGAGGACTATATCTGCAAGAAATATGAGCAGATGTTTAAAGACAAACCTTTCTATAGATTCAGATGCATAGCATGTTATGCAGATTGATTTCTGTGCATTGTGATAAAAACGGGTTAGGAGCATTTCTGGTTGTTGACACAAATTTATCTAAGACCTGTGGATATTTATTAGCAACTGGCATGAAATAGGGAGTCATGTTTTCTTCTTGGTTCTGGCCTCCAACATTAGTTTAAAAGTCACTGTCACACATTATTTCACAATCTCAGTGGAGAGGAAGTGGAAAATTGACTGTGACTCGGTTTGTCCAGTCTTGTGACCAGGTTTGAGTTGTTGAAGAAGCTATTGTCAGGCTGCTGTTGGTCATTACCTTCCCTCTCTGAGGGATGTCAACTAGGAGCATGCCCAGACCATTTCAGAACAAAGCAAAATTGGGTAATTTAAACTGTTCAGTGACCGTTTAAGCTTACCTATTTTCCTTTGGTCTTTCTTTGTTTTAGTACATTTGTGCAATCTATTCCTCAATCTGCACTAGGGAGAGACAGAAGAAGGTTCTTGCTCCATTGTAACAATCCTTTTCTACTGAAACAAAATGTCTTTCTGTTCTTCTTTTCTATAATCCTCAGTGCTCTGGATATGTTGTTAAGTCAGCCATGTTCTAGATATGTAGCATATTACACTTCTGGATTTCAGAATCTTGTACACTAGTTTTTCCAAGCAACAGATAATACATTATATATGCACCCAAATTTATAATCTAGGTTGGACTTTAAAATAGAAAAATCAGCAGATTCCAGACACCAGTGGGATTCTGTTGGTATTTGTGATACTGTAGTGGGTCACTAGTTTGAAATAAGTACAAAGGCAAACCAATAAAATTGATCTAGGTGGGTAGACAATGATGCTAGCAATTATGTTGGTTTTACTGGAAAGAAGCAATTTCTGTTTGCAGCCTCTGAGTGCTGATAACCTTGACTCAGAAGAAGCTGTATAGTTGTAAACCAACAATTGCTTCTTTGGGCATTTTGTGGGTAGTTCCCATGTATTGTTCTGCAGTTTCACTCTTTGTTGCTGCATTCACTCCCCATTTCCATAATGTACATAACCCACCAGTACACCTGCCAAGGAGCTCTCTGAAGAACTGAGGTAGAAGGCCAATGTTACATTGTGGGAGAACATCTATCCCCCTGTCTCCTGAAAAACAGTGACAGCAATGTAACCAAAGATGAAATCATGTTAGAGAAGATCTCAAAATCTATGTCCCTATAAATGAAAGAAAGGACGTTCTGTGATTTTTTTTTTAGGAAATTGCTGGAAAGAAGCTTTTTTTCTTCTTATTTTGTTTTTTCTTTTTTTTTTTCTTTAATGTTTACATTTTAATTTTAAATGAAATGTACAATTTTTATTTTAAGGCTCTCAACCAGAATGCTGAACTAAGGAGTCGCTTGAACAGAATACATTCAGAATCTGTTATTTGTGATCAGGTTGTCAGTGTAAATATTATCCCTAGTCCTGATGAGGTAAGACTTCGGCCTTTAATGGATTTAGAATACAAACAAACCTTGCTAATTCTCACTAAATAGCTGAAACACACCTAGAAATTTATTGGATTTTTCAGATTGGCTAATATTCAATCATAGAAAAAGTAAGGTTATATTTTCTTACCTACAATAAAACTTCAGTCTTTTGTTTTCCATACGTCAGACATGAAAGAACTCAGCTTGGTCTCTTTACTGGAGCAGAGAAGGACTCCAGTTTTGGAATATTAATTGTTGGCTGTGGGAATTAGTGAGGTTTTACTACATTTGAATGTATTACACAGTAGCTAACCAATTCTGTATCTTAGTTTCTTGCCAAATCAACTGAACAATTAATTATTTAATGACCTGATTCTGCAAGTGTCTAAAGGGCCTCATGTTTAGAATCTTGAGTGGTACTGTTAAAATCAAAAGGTTCAGTCCGTAAACCAAGCACTGCACTAATATTTTTTGCAACATTTAGTTTTTCTTGTTTTGCTTTCCTTAGTCAACAGATTAACAAACATTTATATTTATATCAGTGAGCTTCCCTCGTGACTAATCTGAATTTGTGGACTATAATGTATTACAATTAGTATGGTCACTTTGGCAACCATTCTGCTTGCATTTTACAAAAATGTTTTTGATTTGTCATTTCCACTATTTTTTTTTCTATGCATATGCCATTTCAGTTAACATAGTTTTGTCTCCTAGATATTTCTGGCAACAAACACAAAAGGTAAAATTGGTTTTGTTTATTTCCTTTCTGAAAATGTCTAAACAATTTTTCCAAAAATCCAACATGTTGGAGGCTAGCAACAGAACATAGAAGTGAAGTGCTGCCACAGCACAGGAATCTACAGTGGAGTTCTGGGCATGACCTTCTCTTCTGTTCTGTATTTTTTGTTGGTTGGCTGTTCCTTTTTCATTTGTTCATCATTGTCTTGGTAGAATTAAGCCTGACTGAAGAAATGTTTAGAAGTTTCCAGATCTCTCATTCAGTTATCTTAACTTGTTTTGTATATATCTCTATAATCTTGTAGCACAAAGATAATGCCTGTGTGAGGGTCTTTTTCAGGTAGGAGCATGTGTATTTTTCCAAGTTCCTCTAGTTTATGTGAAGCCTCAAAATTTTGGTCACTTCCTGTAATGATTATGGTAAAATGGGCCTTTGTTTACATTATAAACAAGCATCAAGCATCACAATCCATCTACAATCTTATCAGACCTAAAGAATGGCTTGTTTATGCTTTTTTGGGATGTTTTGTTAGTGCTTTTTGAGGTAATAGTATAGAATAATTCTACAGAATTAATATGTCAACAAAACCATATGCAGGAGTTCTGGAATAAGATAATAACGGGGATTGTGTTGCAATCTGAGGAGTTAACCATGTTTAAAAAAGCTTCAGTAGTTTCATCTGTATTATCTCCCAGGAACAACATGCTGTATGAATTAAGGGATTAAGTCCAAGATCTATTTCCCTCCACAGCAACAGATCCTGTGGTAAAATGGTACAGGGAGAGCATCTTAATTTTTTCTTAATGTGATAGCCTGCAGGGTAACACTGATCTGGTGTTCCACCCATCACTAGCAGGAAGAGGAGGGTCTATTTCACTGTTTTAGCCTGCTGCACTACTGACATTGACATAGCACAGTTTTGAATCCTTGACTTTGTTGTTACATTTCTTTATAATGTAATATAATTTCTTTTAGTAGTATTGGGTCAGTGTTAATGGCATAATGCAAATGAGATTTCGAGTATAAACATAGAATAGAAGCCCATAAAATACATATTATAGCTATCCTCCTAAATATTCAAGCATTTCAAACATTGTTACTAAACTGGTTCACAAGGTAATTTATTTGGAAAGTAACTTATAACTCTCAGACCTTATAAATCTTTATAATTAAATTTTAATTGTATCAAAACTAGTTCCCAGTGATGTAATTTGTTATTACCAGAGGTGATTTAATCTGAAAATTGAACATGTCTGACACAATCCAACTATTTGTCCACAAAATCAATCCTCTGCATAGAGAACTAGATCTGCAATTTCATGCTGCTAAAACTTGGCAGTAGATGCTGGGCAGGCCTCAAATGAAGACATGTAGCTCACTGTTCAAAATGCACTTTATTTTGTCATCCTCAGTGTCATCTGTTAGGTACACACAAAATCCTACTAAAATGCTGTCTTTATGCTCTGTGCTTGTATTTATCATAGAAATCTTATTCAGGTGATTTACCCCTTCTACGTGTATTTCTTTAATATTAGAAATAATACTTTTACTTTTCTGTGCTTTATTTACAGACGGGTGAACAAATTCATGTCAGTTTGCCACTGTCTCAGCAAGTTTCTAATGAAAGCAGGCTCTCTATGTCTGAATCTGTTTCTGAGTTCTTTGACGCACAGGAAGTGCTTCTGTCTGCCAGCTCGTCAGAAAATGAGGTAGGCTGTGACAGCATGCGGCAGCTCTGCTGCTGGACAGCGTTAGGTAGTGATGCCACTGGGGAATTTTTTTTATTTTTAGTAATGCTACTTAGAGTAAAAAGGTATCAAAATTGGTAAAGTGTAAATAAACAAACCTGAGATCACATAAAGAGGTGCAGGAGTTCCCTGAAGTGTAAAATTGAGTTGCAAGTTAGTTGTGTCAGTAACTTACATTCAGTACGTGTCCTTTCCAGGCAATTGCAGTTCCACCTAAGGATGACATAGACAGCTACAGCTGAATCTGCAGTCAATTAAACTTAGATTTTCAAATATTCTTTAAAAAATCTTCTACTACATATGAATATAAAATTATTCTCTGTAATAAGAGAAATAGACAAAAAAGTAATATTTCTAGAAAAAACAGTTGTGTAAAACAAATTTTAAAAACATTATTAATGCTGATGAGGTTCTTGCTTTGCAAAATGCTAGACTGATGATTACATAATTTGTTTGCTGAAATGTAAGGCATGTTTCGTTGTTTGGTTCTTTACGAACAGCACAAATCTGACTATCTCTTCTCACCTTCCATCCCTAGCGCATTATGTTATCAATTTTTTTTCATCCCTGATCTTACTTAAACCACCTTTTGCAGATCTCATGTCTGTATTTGGATAATAAGGAATTCAAAAACGTGAGCACAACGTAACACCTTTTGTTTTGACAACATTGGTACTATGGACAGATTGAAATATTCAGTTTATTTAGCTAATAGTTCTAATTGGATAGAATTTGGGTTTTTTTAATATTTGTGTTTCAGTTAACTATTTCTGTCTGTTTTGTCAGTATGTTTTATATGTATTTGAGTTAATGGATATTTTATTTATGTTTTAGGCTTCTGATGATGAATCTTATATCAGTGATGTGAGTGACAATATATCTGAGGACAACACCAGTGTTGCAGACAACATTTCTCGGCAAAGTATACTGTGTTTCAGACTTTGGGAAATTACGTTGGTTATGTTCATGTACCAGAATTACTGCATGTCAATACAAGACGTACTCAGCTGAAAACAATGAAGTTGGGCTTGCTTGTTCTGGCAGTGATTTGGTTGAATGCAGAACTCTGTTTTTCTTAGTCTGGTGCTTTCTTATGACAATATTTTTCTTCCCTTCCCAGTTCTTAATGGTGAGCTGACAGGAGGCGCATTCAGAAATGGACGGAGGACTTGTCTCCCAGCTCCCAGCCCTGACACCAGTAACATCAATCTGTGGAATATTTTGAGAAATAACATTGGCAAAGATCTTTCCAAAGTATCCATGCCAGTTGAGTTAAATGAACCTCTGAATACCTTGCAACATCTTTGTGAAGAGTTGGAATACAGTGAGCTCTTAGACAAGGCTGCTGAAACAGATGATCCTTATGAACGCATGGTAATGCATTTAGTGTAGCACTTCTTCTGTCTGTGTTTAAAAGAGAGCTGTTGAGTAGGGTCTGTGTAGGGTCTTCTCTTTCCCCTCCTGGTCACAGACAACAGACCTCCCTGCTGGGTCAGAAAAATGTTGTGAACAGTTACAGGTCATAGGTTTGATCTGAACAAGGCTGTGGGACTTTTCTTGACCTCAAACCAAGTCCTGCAGTTGTAACTCATTCATTTAAGATCAATCTCGTGCTCTATGACTGTAGATGTAGGCATTGGCAGTTTCTAGATCTGCAGCATCATTTTCTGGCTTTTTGTGTTCAAATCCAGCAGCCTTCAAGAGGTAATCAAGTGTGTGATTAACTTATGATCAATATAGGTGTGAATAAGATGTTGCCTTATGATCAATATAGATGTGAATAAGATGTCCTCCCAGGCAATTTCTAAGAGAGAAGTTTCAAAACACCAGAAGAAAGTTTTCCTGGGCAGCCTGACTTCAGCTCCCCTGTAAGTCTGTTTTGGTTTTTTTACTGACAGCCAGCAGCCTGTGCTCAGCTCTCAGGTTGCTTTGATCTGTCATGTCTCCTTTTCCTCAGAAGACGCAGGGAAAGGCTGTAAGGGAAGGTTGGCAGCGTTGTTGCTGAACATACCTGCTGTTCCCTGGTGGGGGTTTGGCAGCACTGTGGATAACTGGGAGAAGAGAGGTTGCCTTTGCCTTTACACAGTCGCACACTCAAGTCCCTGAACTGCTGTGTTCACAAGGCCTGCAGGAGAGTGAGGCATCCTAAACACTAAAGAGGTTGAACCTATCTTGAGAAATGGAGTTGAATTATTCACCATCACATTCTGTTTTCATACAAGACTCAGGAGGTGATCATAGTGGGTCGCTTCCAACTTAGAGCATTCTGTGATTCCGTCCCTCACAAAAGGAGGGAGATTCTGTAAGGAGCGGGCAGGATTGTAAGGAGTAAAACAGACTTATTGCTGCCTTTGTTGAAAAGTTTGAAAGGTCAGTATTGAAGTAGAGAGAATTCAGGAATGAAAAGCCATGGTGCAAGTGAAAGCTTCCTTGGAAATGTAGATTCAATCCCCTTCTGTGCTACAGATGTCTACTGCAGTACTTGGGAGTACAAGCCAAACTTTTTAACAGCACCTCTAAAAACGCAAACTGCACCTGAGCTGAGGCATATGGGACTACTTGGAAAAAAATGGAATACCCAAAGCTTGTGGCAGGAATGCTGTGAATATGTTACTGCTAGTTCACTGTTCTCTGAAAGATCAGGACTTTGTTATCTTCAATAAGCATCCAAAAATAGTGGAAACCTTTCTTTTTTCACATTGCTCTTTGTATCACAGGGATAGTAAACTCCTTAATTTCTCTGCAGTGTCTTGTAGTTAAATTGAAAAGGCAGTTGAAATTAATCTGAAAACAGTTTTAGAAGAATTAAGGTTTTTACTGTTGAAGAAAAGCCTGTGAAAACAGTGTTACTTCTGTCGAGGCTGCATTTCTGAATAATACAAAATGAATAGAGAATGGAGCACCCATTACACAACGGGAAGAAAATTAGCACATAAAACCTCACATGAGGGCTGTGTCCTCACTAGCAGAGGAAAACCTGGTTAAGATTTGTCCCACTGGTAGCATATTGCCAATAGCTGACTAATTTTTATCCCTCTATTGTTTTTCTGAAATTTTGTTTGGACTTCTGATTGGCTGATGTGATTTTTTTTAAAACTCTGCAAATGTGACCTGTAAACTAAATAACCATGGCATGCCACTTCACAGCCTGTCAGGCCTGGCTGAGAGGTTATTAAATTGGGGTTGTACATATAGACAAAAGGGCTGGCTGTTAAGGCTGCATATGTATGGAAGATTTGGAGATAACTCTGGACTAAGGACATCCTAAGTGGGAACTGTTTATGTTTGGCACTAAATAAAATAGTTCCCATAGGAAAATGGTATGTGATCTTGTAATTAGAAGTTATTACATAATATTTATTCATGGGAAGAAGGACTAGAGCTGGGTCTTTTTTAGGTCACTAATGATAAGCCTGGTCAAAGGCAGAAAAACTGTGTCATGTGCAGGTTGTCATTTTAAGGGACTGTTGAAAGACTGAATGAGGCCATGAAGAAACAGAAATCCTATCAACAGAAGAAATAAAGTTTATACTGGTTCTGGCTGGGATGCATGGTTTCTCTCTCAGGCATGCTTCATTAATCCAGTCGTCCCTGAGCAAAATGAGTTATGTGGTACCACACAGTGATGGCACATACACAAGAATGTCTGCTATTCTCATGTTCTGGTCTGTGTTTTTACAGGTTCTCATAGCTGCCTTTGCAGCATCAGGCTATGCCTCTACGTACTTTAGAGCAGGAAGCAAGCCATTTAATCCAGTGCTTGGTGAAACTTATGAATGTATTAGAGAAGACAAAGGATTTCGATTTTTCTCAGAGCAGGTAAACCTTGTTTCTAGATAGACACTCCTGTTTAGATGTCTACTTTTTGTACTTCATTTTATAGAATCAACCCATTTTTTCTTTCTAGTTAGAATGGTTTGCTTTCTTAGAAGTAAATAAATATTGTTAATATGAGTGAACTTCATTAAAGGCTAGAAGGAATACATGTTTATAGTAATCACTAGTAACTGTTTTAAGTACAGTCACTTAAGTTGTATCTGTTTTCATAGCAACATGAGCTATTTATTATTTTCATATTGCAATAAAAATTGTACTGTCTTAGGAATGAAAATTAAATGTTTTTGACTCAACCTAACTGTGTTTCAGGTTAGCCACCATCCTCCCATTTCGGCCTGTCACTGTGAATCGAAAAACTTTGTGTTTTGGCAAGGTACACTTTTTACTTCAAAAGCATAACTCCTTTTCTATTGTCAAGCAAAAAATTTTTAAAAGCTGAGCGTTGCATTTTGAACTTACTCAGAATGTCTATACTTACTGTTTTGAAGTGACATATTATAAACTGATGATCTGTTTTACTCCAAATTCTCATTAACAGTGAGAAACATGCTACAACTTCCTCTGTCACTTGCAGCCTGTTTATACTCTCCTATTTAAAAGGGTTTTACCAATAAAACTACTATTTCTTACAAACACAAGCAGCTCTTTTTGCAGTTGAAAAAATTACTCTTTCTTTCCTTGTACCTACTGGTATATGCCTTTAACTTGTATTGAATATTTGCACAAGACATTTGATAATCATGCAGCACAGACAGAATTCTTAATTAAACTTACATCTAATATTTCTGATCCAACATAATTTTCTAATATTTTTTTCTTTAGTATTTTCATGGCAAACTCTTACTATCTATTGCCCTGTAGAATTGGGTAGTCCAGTACAGATGATTGGTGCCACAGAGATCAGTACAAGGGAGAGACCTTGGTCATTTCAATTTTTTAAGTATTTCACTATTATATTCAGATATCAGGTGGAAAAACAAATTCTGGGGGAAATCAATGGAAATTCTGCCTGTTGGAACCTTGAATGTGACTCTTCCAAAGTAAGCTATTCTCCTCTTGTTTTCAACCTTGGGTGCACTCGAGTCTGTGCTGCCTTGTGAATGGGTTGGGGTGAGCAGACATCACTTGGATTGTACTGATGAGAGTTGGTGCCCAGCTCTAATCTCTCCTTAATATTCAGGTGGGGCTACTGGAATATTTTTGAGCCTGAAGATCCATTTTTGGTTTTGGAAGAAAAATATACACTCTAGAATGTGATGGAGAGAAAGGGATAGAGATGTTTTAGGAGAGAGAACCCATGTTTTGTATGTACAGCAGTGATGAGCTGTTCAGAACAAGGCTGCAGTGCAGGACTGCCAGCAGCTGGGGCTGTCCTAAGGCTCTCAGTCCTAAGGCTGCTGAGTGTCCCTCAGAACAACCAGACCATGAAAGGTCTTTTTTCAAAATATGGATAAACCAAAGTATATTCTTAATTCTTTGTATGAAGATGGTTTGGCAGAGTAATGAGAAGCAGTAGCTTCACCACCAGTGAGACTAGTTGCAGCTTGTAAATCCTAAGAATATGCAAGGAGTGGGTATTTTAAATATGTCTTCTGGTTTTGTAGTGGTGTTCTTGCTCCTGTACATTGCAGCCAGCCTTTCTTTCTGCCTCTACTGGTAGAGGTAACACAAAGTATAGCATCACTTCAACATTTATCCATCTCTTAAGATTGAAGTAAATGCACTCTGAAGCAGCTTTGTCTTCTGTTTGCATGCTTTTCCCTAAACTGTGAAAGAGAATGTGCTTTGCATAATATAATTCTCTGGTTTTATTCTCTTGTCTGATGTTAGAGATGCAACTGGATAGTTCTTACAAAGGCAAAGGGATGATGTGCTAGTGTGCTCCTGGCTTTCTTCTTCCTTTCCTTGATCTCCATCTCATATTTATTATGTTCTGTTTCTGATTTAATTACATTTTCTGCTTATAGTCTTAATTCAGCCTCACGTTGATCTTTGGGTCACTGTCCTGCCCCTATAGGAATTGTGGCCAAAGCACTTCATGCTCTGAGGACAGTGAATAGGCCATGCAGGGCTTCAGTGTGTTTCTGATGTTGTGTGCCCTGGAGCTTAGGTGGGCTTCTCTAAGGAGGATTAGTGATTTAAACAGATACAGGACTTTGTAATCTGTACAGCTGTTTTTGGGCAATATAATTTGTTTTTACAATAAAGAAGCAATGTTTTACTTTTTTGTCAGTAATGATCATGATGAACAGATGTTACCATCTACTTCTTAATCTGTTCTTAGGTATGGAGACTACTATGTCTGGAACAAAGTCACTACTTGCATACATAATATTCTTAGTGGAAGGAGATGGATAGAGCACTACGGAGAGATAACTATCAGAAATACAAAAAGCAGTGTTTGTATTTGTAAACTCACTTTTGTCAAGGTAACATATGGATGTTAATATATATCTTATATTCATATAACTGTGTAATTTAAGGGTACATCAAGCTGTTTCTTCACTATTCCTGAAGTCCATATTCCACATTTTATCTTCTATTCCTTTTATCACTATTCATAAAATGTAAATTGTCAAAGAGAATGGTACGTCAATTAGTATGATTCTGTTCCACTGAACATTTGGATCAGTGTGTTCCATTGCTGTATAGCTGTGTGCTGTTGCTGGTTTTTGATTAAAAATGAAATGTCTTTTTTTTTTTTTTTTTTTGATATGAACACAATGAAAACACAAAGTCACTGTACACTACCATGCCATTTTGCTTCTACTTCTACTAGAATTTGTTGGACAATATTTTATCTCTTTACACGTATGTATTGGTGCTTTGGTTAATATCCAGGCAAGGACCATATATAAAAATAGAAGTTTGTATAGCTATGTTACTATTAAGTATTTTCCCTAAAAATAAATTTGTCTTCACATTGCAACAAAAGACATTGATACCATTTTAGTGTTAGCAACAGGGTGTTAACACAAATCTGAAATTTGTGTTTTGTTGGATAATCTGAGAATGGGCAACTGGCTCTTGGATGAAGGTGTAAGAGCTAAATAAGTCTAAGAAAAGCAAAACAGAGAAGAGAAACAGAAAGAAACAACACATAATACTGGCTGAATGTCTTCCCTGCTGCATAGGAAGTTCAGCACCCATGAAAAGATTCCTATATAAGTACAGGTATATTCAATACCTCCTCATGTAGGAAGAGGAGTGTTAGCTGGCACTGACAGGCAAAGGATCATTTTTGCTGAATTGTGTGGGATATGGGTTAATGAATGACAATGTAGTTCCCAGATGTGCAGTTAATTTAAATGCTTTTATGTCAAAACCACATTGCAAATTATGCAGTGTTTCTCCTATACTAAATCAGTTAGTGTAAGGATCATATGGTTTTCAAATTTTGGTATTCTTAGTTCCAGGTGAGCCACTCCAACACAGAATTTGGACAGTTGGCACCACGTGCCAAGATACATTAATTATGTATATTAGTACAACGGGTTGTTGGAGAAGCAGTGTGAGTTAGTAATTCTTGGTTAAACTTGCAGGTGAACTACTGGAATTCAAATGTAAATGAGGTCCAGGGTGTTGTGATAGATCAAGAAGGGAAGGTGGTTCACCGTCTTTTTGGAAAGTGGCATGAAGGCCTCTATTGTGGGGTTGCACCTTCAGCCAAATGCATATGGAGGCCAGGTAAGAAGCTTGTAAAAAATTCTGGAAGGTGTGAAGCTGTTTTAGCCTACATTTTAAATACACAAAATAATACTAGATAAATTACAATCCCTGTCTAGACAAACAACGATTCGCATGGGTTTATAATAATGGTTAATGGAAATGTTCTTACAGGACATAATCTTGTACATCTCAGTCTGACTCCTGGTCAGATGTGCTGGGACCTTGGGGTAAACAGAGCAATTAAATTAAGCAAAAACTTGGGCATCCTAGCTGGCCTGTCTGCATTCTGCTAGAGAGCAGGGTAACTTTTTTGGATTCACCAGGTGGGGGTTTATTGAGTTTGTTGTCCTAATGCTTTATTAGCCTAAAGGATTGGTCTTCAGAGATGGTGAACACCTGGGACTTTCAGGATCCGATTTCAACTTCCTGCTTGCTTAAAGGCCTGAGGTTGAATTAGTTATCCTTTGCACCTGTATATTTCATACATGCATTATCCAGGAATTATTGTTCTTAGAATTTTAAATCCTACTTTGTATTTTTGGTATTTTGAACCCTGCTTTGCACCCTGCTCTCTTCAATGTCTGTTCTGACCATGTAGTGTCGAATCAGTCTGTGAGTGTGTTTTAAGTTCCAAAATGAGCTCTAAACATCAGTTAAGGCTAGATTTTAGACAGACGTTTCATAGACCCACTTTCTGGGGAACAGCAAACTGTTTTTAATTTGAAAAGCTTGAAATAATTAGTTTTTATTTAAAAGGGTGGGAAGATTATAAAAGCTTTGAGTCTATTAACATGTAATGGCAATCTCTGCAGGATAAGCAGTTGATATTAATATTTATTGAATTTTGTTTCACTTAGAGAATAGCTTGTGATGCTTTTTAACTGGAAGAGTAAAATATATTCTTTTTCTGTTAAAAGTTTATAAATGAAGGACTCTCTTGCATATTTACAGTAATAGCTTAAAAGCTTTTTTCTTTGTCTTATGTGTTCAGGCTCCATGCCAACCAATTATGAGCGTTATTACGGCTTCACAAGGTTTGCTATTGAGCTCAATGAATTAGATCCTTTACTGAAAGATCTTCTTCCTGCAACAGATGCACGATTCAGGCCAGATCAAAGGCAAGAATGCTTATTTATACATTTAATATTTGGTGGGCTCAAGGCTGGGTTTGGCTGAGTCTTGAATTTTGTCTGTATCTTCATTGCAGTCTGAATTAAGCTGTGGAGGATTCTGCTAGTAGAGACGATAGTCAGTATTGTACTCAAATTTCTGCTTAGCCCAGCTGAGGGAAATTAGAAAGCTTCTTGTTGATGCCATAGTGCAACCTTGGGGCAGATTACTCATGACAAACTGGAAAACAGGCTCTGAAATGCTGTGCACCTTTGCTATGGATGGAAGCAACACTAATTCCTTCCAAATCTCAGTTCACAGTCCTTCAGTGTTTGTGATATGCTGAAGTTGCTGAACAAAGCATGTGCCTTAGGCTGTAGGTCAGGTACACGTAGCTGGGGAGTCGCATCTCAGGCTGGATCTGAAAGTACAACACTGACAGCACACTTGGCTTCTGCTTGCTTTTTATGATGGCTGGTGCTGGAAAATCCCTTGGTTTAGACACTGTGTGATTGCTATACAGCCTGCTGTTATTCCTACAGGCTTCTGGAGGAAGGAAATATAGAAGCAGCAGCATCTGAGAAACAAAGAATAGAGGAACTCCAGAGAGCTCGGAGGCGGTACATGGAAGAAAACGGCATTGAATATGTACCCAAGTTTTTTAAGTGAGTCTTTTCATATGAGTAGTAAGTCTCTGGTTTCCATCGTGTAAGTGGATGAAATACTACAAGAATTACCACCAATACAGACTGATAATCATGAAAGCATGGAAAGTTGCATTTCTAAGTAACGTAGTAAGATATCTGATACCTGCTTCTCTGAAGCAATTTTTACACAGTTAAGCTTCATAATTGAATGATCATTTTCTCATAATGGGCCTCAGCTATACAAGCCTTCCTGCTGAAGTAGAATTAGAAGTATAATCTAAGATTTAACTAGGGGCATTTTAAATTCATTGCATAGACAAGTAATACCATGTGACCTGAACAGCAACATCATACATATATATAACATGTCTATATAAATGTATATGTATACATTTAAAATGCATGTATTTTTGAATGAAGGTGTTTCTTTATTGGCTGTTTTTTAATTAAGCATTCTTCTGAAACAAGGAATAGTCATGCCAAGTAGCCTCATGTCTAACATGGGGAATCAAAAGTGAAAATACTGAATGTGTGTGATAAAACTGTAGCATAATGCAAGCAAAATGCAGAGACAAAAAATAAATGGTTAAAGGCTTACATTCTGTAAGCTGTATCTACTGGATAATCCTCTTCACATAATCAGAATCTGTAGTGAACAAAGGGGTTTTAGGTGGCTGTAAGACCTGCTCTTATAGATCAAACAACAGATTTTCAGTCTTGGCTGTCTTCTCTGTCTTCTGCTTTTGATATAGGTAGAGGTTGATTTTTGTTTTCAAATTCCTGTCTGTTCTTGTGTCCTTTTGAAATATGAAATTTGATTTAATACTGCATTAGAACAGAGAAGTGTGGAGTTTGATTTTATATAGCATAAGAACAATATCTAAGGTAAAAACTTTCTTCATCTCTTTATCTCTCTTTTTTTTCCCCCCTTTCTACAGAAAAGTTATTGATGCTAATCAAAGAGAAGCCTGGGTTACCAATGAAACCTACTGGGAACTGCGAAAAGATCCTGGCTTTAGTAAAGTAGACATTCCTGTACTCTGGTAAACTGAGAATGTAGACCTAGTAAACATATCACTATGAAGAAAAAAAAATAACTATGCACAATATGTTTCTTATAGCTAAGCGTGGTTTGTGGGTCTACGGAAAAACCATATCATATGCATTTATATTCATCTTTGTAATGGACTTTTGGAAGTGCATTAGACCAGGCCCCTGACCACTTCTGGATCTTTCTAATTTTGCAGCAGCCATCAAAACTAAAAAAAAAAAAAGAAAAAAAAAAAGAAAAAAAGGAAACAAACCTTTTAAAGTTTCATACACTGAAAATTCAGAAATAAAGAAGCAGATGAGATATCCAAAGTCACTCGGAAGAGGTGGTAAGCGCAAAACTGCAACCGGTGCTTTAAACAGACATTAAGAGTACTACAATTTGAATTAAAAAAAAAAAAAAAAGGAAAGAAAAAGAGAAAAATTTCCATTTTGTTTCAACTATTTTTGTTAAAAACTCTTGGGTCACAACACTGTCATTTCTGGCTTCAGGTTAGTCCTTTGGTGTGATGTGCTTGGACTGGCCTTTGTCAAAAAGATATGCTTTTCTGGAAGCTGTTCCCATTCATATGCCATTGTTCATGCCTTAACAAAATATGAAGATGTACATTAAGTAATTTTAAAATATCTGTGCTTAGGCTTGTGTGAAGGGCAGATTTTTAAAGCTCTAGAATTTTATCACAATATAAATACTGGAAGACCTGCATTATTTGAAATCAACAGATAACCAAACATCTAACTGTATTTCAGAGGTATGAGACCTACTGTACATGCTTTAGCTTTGGGATGCTGACTGTATAATCAGACTGCAAAGAAACTGCTAGCTGGTTGAATTTCAATTTTGGTAAATGCATATGAGTTGCTAGTCAGAAAGTTCATATTCTAAATGACTGATGCTGAGATGCAGTCTTCACATTTAGTACTGGCTGGACATAGACCTCTCAGTGAATCTCATTTCCCCCTAACTGTTTATACAATTTAAAATCCCTGAAGCTTTTCAACTGTGTTAAAAGCACAGAAAGATTTCATGTGAAGGTCTCTGGCTTCTCTCCAGAAGCTGGATAGTACTGTAAATGCAAGTGTTTTCTGCCACACGCACTGTTTATTTTCCTGGCTCTGTTTTTCCCCATCCACCTTTCTTATCTAAAATTATGTTTGAGAGTATGGCAGAGGCTCCTGTGTGTTATAGCTAACAACTTCTACTTGTGTTGCCAAAACAGCTTTTGTGCAAAATATACTTTACATTTTTTCATAAAGTGGTTCTATATTTTTGATTAAAAACAGTCTTTTATGTGTTGCTAAGCCTCAGTTAATATAAGTGGGAGAAGACTTGGCACTTTCTATTTGAAAATCTCTGAAACATTAAACAGTAGGAGGGCAGTTCTTAATAAAAGAAAGAAAACAGTAATTTATTAGATAAGAGCTACATTCCATATGGTATGATCTAGTCTTCCATTTGTGCATGTGTTTCACATCCCACCACTGGTGATAGGTTAGATTTCATGCACAGACTCTGTCTTCCTTTCTGCCCATACATGACATACAATTTTTCTATTTAAGATTGATTCAGTCCTGAGACCAAAAATAAAATTACTAGATGGGTATGTGATCTGCCAGCAGAGCTGCTTGAACAGTTGTCAGTGCATTACCACACATCCCCAGCTCTCAGCCTGCTTCTTCCTTGTTCCAAGTCAGGTCCCTATACAACTGAGATTACTTTGGTTATTTAATATTAATTTAGACCTCCCTGTCGATCGTATAGCAAAGTAACTAGCAGGGCAACTAGCTGCTAATCAGTTCCAATTTCTTCACACACTTCTGTTATAAGAAAGAACAATGAAAACCTACAGAAAATATTAAGCAGACTTTTTATTAATTGAGAATGTGCATGAATTTTTAATGAAAATTTGGTATAAAAATCCCTGTGTAGATTAATGGGATTTCTTCCAAAGAAGATTTTAAGTTATTCAAATAATGTTATCTTTCTCTTTCCTGGTTGAACCTAGTCTGATTTATTCTTATTTTAGTTCTGCAGTTGTTATTATAAAAAATTAAAAATATATCAAAGTTGGTTTTTAAAATAATATTTTCTTAAGGTCATCCTGCTTGCTTTAACAATATTACACTAGGAATCAAATTGGCACATTGTGTGTAAAATAGCAATTAATTTCTCTGTGTAGCTTTCTTTAAAGCCAACTCTATTACATTTGCCCATATTTTGGTCCAAGTCTTTGTGTGCAGTTCACCGTGATATGAGGAAGTATAATTTGTGTATAACTGCAAGCACATTTGAGGGACAGAACTGCATGTCCTCAAATCTTTAATTTAAATACAGAAAGAAGGTCAGAAAGAAAAGAAGTTTTACAGCATTCTGGCAGTGCTCTGTGAATGCCATTATTTGCAATGCAAACTGAAACTTGGTGGACATTAAAAATGCTATCACTGAATTGTTTTTTACAATTGTTCATTTGACACTCACTGAAAGAAAAATAATGCTAACATTTCTAAAATCTAGAAAATCTATGCTATGCTAAATCTTTCTATTGAAGGCACTTTATAAGCCAAGAGGATGTTAAATTAGTTAGTAAGTAGAAAAGACACGAAATGATGCAACACAAGATATTTGCAGTCTATATCTATATATTTGCAGTTTCTCCTCGGGCAGAGTTCTTCGTATTCTGTGCAAAATGTGTTACTGCATTTTTCCTGTAGCATTGGCAGACATCATGGAATATTTTGTGCTGTTTCTAAAGTGGATAGGTATGAGGGCTTGTATCCAAATTATAATTTTTAGTCAACTTGTGACATTTCACAACATTGAGTGAGAGGGGATGGTGAGTTCCCCCCATCCCCTGCCTGTGTAGTGCAGAACTGAGTATCCCATGCTGCAAAGAGAGTGCACCACTGGCTGTTCTGCAGCCTGGCACCTTTTGTAAATGCCAGCTGGTTTTTGGCAGGGCTGCTGCTCAGACATCACTTCCCAGCATGTAGGATTTTTCCTCTCCAGGAGCAGACCTTTTCACTTCTACTGAACCTTGTGAGGTGTTTCCTGGCCCAGTCCTCAGGTTGAGCAGTGTCCTTCTAGTTGCAGCTTTGCCATCTGGTGTGCCATCTCATCCTCCTGATTTGATGTCATCTGTGAACGAGTTATCATGTCCTTACGTCCTTGTCCAGGTCACTGGTGAGATGTTAAGTGACATGGCCACAGAAGTGACCACTGCAGGGTTGTCTTCATTGCTGGCTGCCAGCAGCAGCCCTGATCACTGACTGCCCTTCAAGTCTGGGATTCAAGCAGTTTTCAGCCCAACTCACTGCATTCATCCAGGCAATATTTCCTTTTGGAAGGCATGAAAAATACTATCCAACTCAGTAGATTTAATTGCCGTATGCTTGGTAAGTGTTGAAAATTAATGTAAATCATTTGACACATAAATTTTTTATGCAATTAAAGAAGTTCTTTTGCTTCAAGGACATATGCTTTTCTCCTGTGTTTTCTCAAAACACTTATTTCTGTATAAAAATATACAATACTTATGCTTTAGTTTCACAATAATGAGCTGTACTTTCTATTAATATTTTAAAAGTGTACCTTAATTTCTTCTTTGTTCTGGTACTTTGGATATGATAGGGTAATAGTAGCTATTTTCATCGAATGCAATGTCTTACAAAGATTTAAATAGCTTCATTCTTATTTTAGATTAGTATTATCAAGATGGCAAAGTTTTGGCACATCAGAAATTTTAATCTCACAGGAAAAGATGATTTGAGTTGATTTTCATGAAGTATCACTGTGAAAGTCATCTAGGCACCCATTCTAATTTTAGACAGGTGTGAGTTGCATGAAATAAACTTTTTTGTATTTGGCTTTAAAAGTGCAGTTTCCACTAGAACAGTCTTTTCATCATACAAATAATGTTATCTTTTTTTTAATCCTTTTGAACTTCTGAACCTGAGTAAGCCTGTATGGGACCTGTGGGTTTTTATTTGAGCGGTAGCACATGCCAGGCACATGTCAAGTCCTGCAGTATGGAAACAAACGACACAAACCTTAAGTCAAACCAGGAGCCAGCGCTGGTCCTGCCCCCAGGGCACCTGTGAGCCCCTTGCCTCTGGGCCATGGCCTCTGTTCCCCATAGAGGGAGTGGGATTTTCTCACCTCCCACCAGTGGAGCCCAGCACAATTGCAGTCTTATACTGAGCTTCTCCTTGAAAAATCAGATTTTTTAGAAACGCCCTGGAGGGGAGGAGAGGTTCACTTGTAATTTGCACAATAGCCAAGAGGGCTGAATATATCTGCTCTCTGTTTTGCAAAACTTGCTCTCAGGTAAAGGCCTATTAGCATAGGGAAGGTTTTGTGTGTTCTCCTTGTTTTACAGGATTTTAGACATTGTCTAGTGCAACAATAAACAATTTTACATGTGTTGTAATCTGAGGAATGGGCATTTTTAGATGTCATTAGTAGTAATGCAGCTACATAATTAAAGCCAAGGAGAGGTTTTCAGTTTAAATCCATCTGAAAGTGTATTTGTATTCATATGCTAAAATGTTAGGAGGTGTTAAGCTAGAGAGTTTTGCCCATCTAGGGGAATAAGATTAATACTGACAAAAGTGTATTAGAAACACTGGAATGGTCTCGCTGGTAACCTTGTGTTATACACAGACCCATGAGAAAGCTCAGGAAATTTGCTATGTCATAACCACTTGGCAGCTACTGGGGCAGAAAAACACTTCTTTGTTTTTTCTTTCTGTCTGTCATTAAGTAACTGTTATCAAAACTGAGTAAAACCTAAATTTACACTTCAGTGCATATACTGATATTATCAAGGTATATTTAGTATAAAAAGTAGTATAATTTTCTACTTCTCCATTCCAGGTTACTTTTATGGTAATTTGGATACCAGTCAGTATTTTCATGAAGAAAGGGTTTCCTTTTCCTTTTCCTTTTCCTTTTCCTTTTCCTTTTCCTTTTCCTTTTCCTTTTCCTTTTCCTTTTCCTTTTCCTTTTCCTTTTCCTTTTCCTTTTCCTTTTCCTTTTCCTTTTCCTTTTCCTTTTCCTTTTCCTTTTCCTTTTCCTTTTCCGAATCTAGACTGTGTTAATAGAGGTATAATTATTCCTGGTGAGAGTACCTCCATAGGCTCCATTACAACAGTGACTGGCATCCAGGAGAATGCTGCAAATCTGAGGTCAGAGAAATTGCACATTTACAGCAATTTATCTTCTTTTTATACTATATATTGTAAGGAATCTACTTACAAAAGCAAATTCATTATTTACTCTTAAACTAGGGTATATAAAACCTTTATTCATTTGCTTTAGTAGAAATTATATATTTCTTTCATTAAACAGAAAAGTATCTTTATAAAGGGATTTTTATACAGTTTCTTGCAAGTTTAAAAAGTAATATTGATGTACTTGTATTTTATATATCGGCCTCCTACTTTGTCAAACTTTGTGGCATTATAAACTCATCATCTCTAATTTTTTAATTTTTTTTTAACTTCCCTTGCAATCTTTGTGAAACCTTAGAAAAGAAAGGTGGTAAAACTAGTCATAAAGACTTAGTCAGTGTGAGATGTAACAAAACAGGATGTTTTCTAACTTGTACGAATTAAAACTGTCAGCAGAGCTGTTGAATTTATTTTAGTCTGGTTATCTTAATACCATTTTTCTTTCCACTGATCCATGACAACATGAAAAAAAGGAAGATTGGAGACATTTTCTCAGAATTAATGCTGAAGGTGAAGGGAAGCTTTTTTTCCTTTCATAAGTAAAAAATGACTGTAGCCAGCATTTGGCTGAAGATGTCTTGGTAAATTGGACAAGAGAGTTAAATAGTCTGAATATATAATCAGCAGTGTTTAATATGTGCTTTCTGACCTGTAAATAATTCACTGAAGTATGGTAAAGCTACTTATTGGTACTCCTGGAGCAATGATTCAGATGTCTCCTGTCAAACACTGAAGTGTGTTTCCTTACTGACTGCTACTTTCAGTGGTCTGCAGTGACAGAGGCTATCTTGTGCTAGTGTATACTGTTGCTGGGGCAGAACATTAGGCATGCGAAATGGGAAGAGGTGAGGAAGTTCCTTTGGAAACTCAGAAGTGGGTAAATTCTCTGAGAATCAAATTCCTTTGTTCTACAAGGGCAGAACACAGTGGCAAATATTCAACCAGAACTGTTCTTTACTGAGCTGCTTGCTTCTGGTGCCAGTCATGTAGCTGCATATACAACATCTTGTTCTGAAATCGCATCTCTTTTTAGAATTGTGCTTGTGTCCCCAGGGCATCTTTGTCATGTCCACCAAGAATAATCAGTGGTTGAGTCAGGACTGCACACTCAGATTTCTTGTCTAGTAGTCCTGTGCTGAATGCTCTGTCTTTCTTTGTTAAAGTCACCTGAACAAGGAATATTATAGTAATATTAACATCGTGAATACAAGGTTAATCCTCAGTATTTTCCAGGGAAAGAAAAATTCAGGATAGCTTCTTTAACTGTGTGGAAGAAATATAGATTATATCTCCTATTATCCTTGTGTTTGCTTAATATTTTATAAAATATTTTGAGATTGGATCACAATAAATATATTAAAATTACTTTACCCCTATCTTGAGGTTGACATTGAAAATTGTCATTCCAATTTGAGGTTAGTTTTAAAAATAAGTGCTGTTGAGTTTTTAAAATAAGTGCTATTGTATTTTAAATAGTTGAGATACAGTATAACAAATTCACATCACAATAAATTTTCTTTTCTGCTGAGTCTCACAGAAGATCTGACTGAGCAGAAAAATAAATGCTGATGAGTATATTTTCCTATGGAGGCAAAAATTCAAACTTCTGCCTTAGTAAGCTTTATCTCTAATTAGCAAAGACACTGTTCTTGTTCTTTTTTAACAATTTCTAGACTACTTACTTTCAAACATTTTTCCCACACTAAGAATTAGTCCCATGAAGTTTGAATTTTAAAAAGTAGACCATGTTTGGAATTCTGCAGACATGAGGGGTGGTGTTCATGTCATACTAAATGTCCACGTCTCAGGGTGGACCACTAAAATTTTACCCTTGGGCCAAAAATATGTATCAGTGGGTTTTTCCAGTGGGATTCTTCTTTGTATATGCATTTGTGTCTATGTTATTTACTGTAAAATAAGTAAGAAATCAGGCTGCCAGCATCTGATGTCTGAAATATTTTTCTTCCCCAGAGCTGCATAGCAAACTACCTGCTCTTTATCTGTTACTGCTAGATAGTCTGAAGGAATGCTTTTATTTAGCACATGAAGAGCCATCATAAAATGAAACTACTGTGGTATCAAGAAAGATTATTATAATAGTTCTGTACTACTATGATAATTCTCTTATATATATTTTATTTGTTGCAACCAGTAGCAAGACTTTTCTCTGGGTCTCTACTTTTCTTCTATAATTAACTGGTGATTTATAATTTCTCAGTATTTCAACAGCAAAGAATTCTATGTTTTCTCTCACTTTTGCACAAAGCTAATATAAATTGGGAATAATGTCACTCTTTTTTGGGTATGAGATTAGATCCCTTGTGCACATGTGTAAAATGTTGTAAATACTAGTATTTTTACCTTGCTCAGATTCTGAGAATGACATTAGAAGGGTAGTGTTTAGATTAGTTGTCATTTTTATACTGCCTTACTGAGCTTCTTTGCTTTTAGCAAACTTTCAGGTGGTAGATTGCCCTGTGCCAATTCTTTAGTGGGCCAAAATGTCAGAACCTACAGCTAAAAGAGCATTCTTTGCTGACTGCCCATATCTATGTGCTTATTCTGAAAAAAACTCAAGCAAAACAAACCTTATCTGTTGATTCCTTGTACACCTCTTTGGGTAGCTTACCTGTAAAAGGAGATCTTCAGAGTCTTTCTACTCTGATTATGCTATTATGTCAGGTACAAAGGCAAGCAGGAACTTGTTTTGTGGTTTTTAAGATCAATTTAAAGGCAAAAGTTGCTTTTTAGAAGATAACATACAGAGCAAGTGCTACTTTTGAGTAGAGGGTAGATAGTGTCTGTTTTTAAGGGAAATTACAGACTGTAGTGAGGAAGGGTCTGAGTTCTTAGAAGCACCAGATAAATTTTTTCTGTTATTTGAAAGAAATAGAAGAAATTTTCTTAATGGAAAGAAAGACAGTGAGAAGCATTTATGTACCTAGCTACCCAAATGTTGTTTTTTGAGTACTTCAGTATTAAACCTCACATGAAGCACTCCCAATTTTATACTCAAAAGTTTGCTGTGGACTTCCATAACGAGATGATGAAGAATTGGATACTGGAAAAAAAAAATCAGTATCATAATTTCTGAATAACTCTAAGTAATAGAAAATTAATTTGCGGATATTTGTAGTGAAAATTATATAAGCTACTTTCAGTATCGCAATTTTTAAAAGTGCAATTTGGTCCTTTGTAGTACATTCAGTAATTTAATTAATTGTTAATTGTTCTTGATTGATTTCCTGCAAATGTATTCATCTGTTCTTGACTATTCACAAATTTGGGATGTCTTCATGATGATTCTTCTTTGCATCTTATTCATTCTGATTCCAAATATGAGCTGATTATACCTGTAAAAGCAATTTTATTGCTTATGATTCATAAACATCAGGAGCTGAAAAGCAATACAGAAAGGATGTCATTTGTGTATTCCAAATCTATAGACTTTTATTTCACTGCAGGAGTTAATCAGCAACACACATCAGATTTTTCTCTGCTCCATCTGCTTGGACTCTGATGTTGCACAGGTATCAATGTGTACTTAGCATTAACATTGCAAACAGCTCTCATTTAAATCAGTTTCAAAGATGTAGATGCTTAAGTTCAAATAAAAACATTTTATAGAGACATTCCTAAGAAAAAAATATACCAGCTTGCTTGGTTAGCCCAGGCTTTGTAGCACTTGATTTCTAATTCCTACATGCTTAACCAAATGAGCGCCTACGCAGAGGCTGAGCTGCTGTTGGTACTCTGTCCCCCTTGAACCCAGTGAGCTTCCAGTGAGTGGATGATCTAGCTGCCCAAATCTATTTCAGCTGTAGGCCTAATGTGCAGTCAAGGCTAGGTATTTAACTAGTTGCCCTTAAGCTTAATTTTGAACATGTGCACCGTGTTGTGGAAGATAAAATGTGTGAAATACAGTTGGTTTGACTGCTTGCTGCTCTGAGCAATATATTTGACTTTTCTTTGACTCTGTTGCATTTTGGAGCCTTATTCTGGAGCTTGTAGTTTTTAAAAACAAGTTAACTTCATGTCTGTGCAAAGCTCAATTAGGTATGACATTTGGAATAAAGAACAGTACATTCAAACAATAACAATTCATTGTATTATGTCTCATTCTGGCAAGCTTAATTGTAAGAATATTTGCAATCCCTGTTCCTGTTTCCCTATACTGTCCCCAGGATGGTGCCAGCCCCAAGCTGAGGGTTGCTAGTACTGTATACCAGTCAAAAAAAGGAGTTTAATCTCTCTGATTTGTGAAGCAGGGGGTGGCAGACTAAGAGCACGCTTTTAATCTCAGCCCAGAAAAGGATGAATGTGAGAAAGTGCCTCTCTCCGTCTAGGCTTTAGTACATACATAGAATTACTTTCTTTTGGTATTTTGAGTTCTGACTCTGGCTACTTCTAAGATTAAACCTAGCCAGAAAAGAGCAGTAATAAAACAGTTTTAGGTTTCCATGTAATGCAGCTGCAACACATACTCTGTGTCTTTGCACTCGTAAGTTGGTTTTGAACATACTATTGTAGTGATCCAGGAGCAGATGAGGCCTCACACTGACTACCTCTCATGCAATAAAACCCAGGCTCATTCAGTACTTAATACTGATTGCAGTTGAGCATCCCTCGGCCACGTGATTCAGGGAGGTGGTAGTGGGGGGAAGAATAAACAAGAAATAATAACAAAGACTTTATTCCAGTGATATGTGTGGTATACGTGATACCCATAATACATACTCAAACTGAAGGAGGTCCTACAGCTTCTGGTAGGAAATAAAAAGTGAATTTGGCTATGCTATAGTTTTTGTTGTGCTCTAAAATGTAACAAAAGAGGTCATCTGTTTCCTTCAGGCTAAGTCAGATTTTCCAGGATATTGTGTCCAAAACATACACACAATTCTAATTTTTGAGGAAACATGATGCTCCTTTACCTGTTGCAATGTAATTGGATAATGCATGTACAAATGACTTGTGTAGCCTGCCAATGAATGTTGCTAATGCCTTACCAAAAAGAAAAAAAAAAAAAGATAAAGCATATTTTTTGTATTTTTTTTTCCTCAGAGGCAAATCCAAACAATGCTAGATTTGGGAAACTGTTTACTGAAAAGCATTTTCTAATAGATCTCTGAAGAAGTGCAATTGTATAATTACTATTGTTCAGTGCATACAGTACATTGTCTCCATCACTCTGTACACTGCTGCTATAAGTGCTTGTTCTAATAAATCTCAATGTACACTGTTTAAACTGCTGTCATCTGTGTTCTGATTTATTAATATAAGAAACACCTGAGGCAATGATTATCGAATAAACTATTTGTAACTAGTTAGATCAATTTATTATTAATCATAAAATTATGAATGTATATTTTACAGATTTATTTTGAAGAGATGGGTGATAGTGGTGGCAAAAGCACTAAAATGGTGGCTTTTCCTCTCTAACTTTTTTTCACTGCAGGAATACTTTTATAAAATTTTTCCCATGTGATTCTCTGTGCAGTTTCTTTACATCTGTCAGGAACCACCAACTGCAGTCTCAAAGAAGGTAATTTTCTTTTTGGCAGTTCCTAGTTATAGCTTCATACTGCAGCTGATAAGAGCCTTTTTCTTTTTTTCTTTTTTTTTTTCACTTCAGCTTGTTCTTTGTTATTAAAGGGAGCTTGCAGTATGCTTCTGAAATTTTGAGAGAGGGTGTAGAAAAAATTGTTCCTGATGTTCTCTAATAGATTTGAAAAAAGTGGAAATGAAAGAAAAAAAAAATTACTTGACACCCACCCTGTCTGGCCTCTTGGAAAAATAACAGTATGTGGGATTTTGATATTTTTCCATTATGTGTTCTTGTCAGCTGTTCAGCCCTTAAAATGAAAGCATAATAAAAACTAAGAATTTGGTTGGGAGGAAAAATTAAGGTTTTTGTTATTTCCTGGCATTGTAAAAAGAACAAGTGTTCAAACAATCTGGAATGCTGCCTGAATGGAAGAAATTGCAAAGGAAGGGAAAAGGCTTTTTTCATGAATGGCAGTGCTTTCTGTCTTGTGTCAGAGTACACATCTTGTCTAAGCCCGTGCTCTGTGCAAAGGGGCACACTAGGAGCTTTTCCCTGTTAACCATTCCACAAGGGAAATTTAGCTCTGCTTTCACCTTTGTCCAGTTGAGATCTGTCCTTGCCCTCTGAATGCTTTGGATGACTGTGACTCAGCAGAATTACTGTGCATGAGTGAAATGTGAAAGGTTTTATGTCTTTACTTAATTGATGATAAAAAAATCAATGCAGCAAACCTTTGGGAATAGAGCGCCAGAGGCCTGAGAGGCTACATGAGCAACCTGACACCAAATTTAGCATCAAAACTATTACTTTAGGTATGAAAGAAAGTAAATTGCATGTTTAGCTTTAATCTAAGCAGGAGACAGGTGATGCTTCTTCATAGCCACAAACATGTAGGCGCTGTGGTGTGGTGAAGTGAGACAGCGTGGGAAGCTATTGACAGGATTTCATCCTGACTCAGCTAAAGGAGTTGCCCACAGAAAGCTGTTCCAAGTTTCACTGCTGGTACAAAAATCTGTTCTGATATGATGATACATAGCATTTTTGCACAGCAACATATCAAGCCACATGGTTCTTCAAGACCTCGTGATCTTACTAAATATTTAAGTTGGTCTAAAGGTTAAAAAAACACTGCACTTCAATACAGAAAATTATTTTCCAAGAAAGTAATTATTACTAAGTCAGGTTAAAGGAAACTAAGCTAAAATATCATTCAAACCCAGAGTACTGGGGGCTAATTGAGGAAGTACTCTATTTTTATTGAGTAGTGAGTCTAATTTTACTCAAGGGCAGGAAATAAAATGCCTTATATTTAGACTGCCATTTTTATTTCTGAGAGCTGTGTCTAAGATTTAACTTCGAGTAGATGAAAATACAGGTTAGGTTGTATATCCTGTCTCTATATCTCAAGTGCATATTAGTACATTTTAAAAATTCAGAAAAAAAAAAAAAGGTGTGCAAAGATGCATTTTACAGGCATGAATCTGTTGTGAAGATGCTCTTTGCCTGTGATGAGACTACATTAGATTATGTTTGTAATTACAAGGATAAGTTTCAAAGCAAAACCAAACATGTAGTTGCTTTTCTCACTGATTAGTGTCTGGCTACATTTCCTTCAGTAAAGAAAAGAACCTGATTATTAGCTCAAATTTCACAACAACCCTAGGCTTCTTGAGCAGGTTTATGACAAGTCAGTGGAGGAAAAAATTATAAATAAACATTCTCAATAGGTTACTTTTGACTATAAATTCTGGTAAGGATGCTGGGTTATTTCTTTCAACTGATACAATTTTAGGTGTTGTCTTTTAAATTCCTCTTTAAGTAAGTTATTTCTGAGGGCCTTGGATTACTTCTAGCAGTCAAAGACATTCAAGAGCACAAGAGCACATCCATTCTTCAGTTCTAGTTCAAGAGCTGACTTCACTTAAATGCTGATCAGCTGACCTAGAATAACAGTATCAGGCTACTTTTCATGTTTGGTGACAAGAATTTTTTATGTCACCTGTCTGTTAAAAATGTTTAGTATCTGGAAACAGCTCAAATCTATTACTCTATGCCTACAGCCATGAAAAGAATGAATTAGGAAACTAGATGAAGACATATTCTTGTCTTGAAAGCATGAAAAGGAACAGGCTGAATAAACATAGAGATGATTATGAAAGAGGATGCTGAATTATTGCATGCACTACAAACACTGATTTAATTTTGTCTGTTTATGAATACTCTGTATCCAGAGGCTTTTGTAATAGTAATAATCACTTCTTGCAGAATGTTTCCCTGAGAAGTGGCACATCAGCACAGCCACATGCAGTGAGTTTCATAGACAGAGGTTAATTGCCCAGTATCACAGGACAGCTAGTGCCAATGCCAAAAATAAAAACAGTCCTGCTGCTCAGGTTAAAGCAGCAAGGAACAAGTTGTCTATGACTGAAGGAAGTTTTATATAGATATAACTGTACCAGCACCCATCAGACAGCTTAGCATCGACAATGTGAGTTATAACATAGCAGTCAAATCCTTTGTTTTGTAAGTTTTCTTTAGATACAGTAGCACAGTAGCATCTACAGTTCTACATCCTCATAGAGGTGGATGGGCAAGCCCACAAAGCTGTCCTGTCACACAGGCACACCTACTGACACATGCTGGGTAAAAAAGATTTGGCCATTTGGGCAGCATCCTTCAAAGGAAAAGAAGCATTAAATATACTTTAGGTCACGCTGGCTTGTTTTTTTCCAGATTTGTCTTCACAAGCTAATAATGCTACATGATGAAAGTAGCTTTGTTGTATACAGCAATGTTTATGTAACGACTGAAAGCTGGAAGAGGAAGGGAGAAAAGAAATCTTAAGTATTAACTGACTGGATAAACTGAGCTGGTATTGAAAAGATTAAACCCAAAATTTGCACAGTATTACGCTGGTAATTTGTTTAATATCTTCTTAATGAGCAAAAAGATGCTGTCAGTTGCCAGACTTCTCACAGGTGGTAATTGTAAATGCAAATATACTATCTCAGCATATCTGTCCCTGGAGGACTACTTTTGCATTCATTTTTAGTAAAGGCTTCACATGGATGTTAATGCATCCATCTCTCTACTGAAAATATTGCCATTAATGCTGGGGCAATTACAAAGAAGAAAAAGCTGGGATATTTTATGCACTTTAAAGATGGACACATGAAACATAGATTAAGTAATCTGTATGTTCATGAACAAAGGTCTGGAACCTGAAAGGTAAGTCTGTGGAAGAGCATATAAAACTATCACTATAATTTGTATTTCAGGAGCTCTGAAGTTGTGTAAATCATGGTATTAAACTGGCTGGTTTTGCTCATACAGGAGAATTTCTAGACAAATACCACATAAAAAAACCCCAAAAAAGAAGTCAAGTGCTGTCAAACCCACTCAGGTTTTTGCAAAAACCCAAAAAGTGTGTATGTAATTAGAACCATATTTTGCCCAGTAAAATGTTATTTTTGTTACCTCCTGAAATATAACAGTGTCCATATCACTCAGATCCTGTGTTTCTAGGGAAATACTCATGCCATATGCTGGAAAGTTAGGGAATTTTGTGAGTAATTTTTTCAGTAGCATTTTCATTTGCTGTTTTTTATATGTTAAATTCTTTCATTTGTTCTTTTGCAGAGGTCTGCAGGTAAATATAATACAGTTCAAATGCACTTGCAGTGTACATGATACACTCCTGTTCAGTAGCCAGGAGATCTGGCAACTGATGGCATCCTTTTGTACACTAAGAAGATATTTAACAAATTGCCAGTATAATTTGGTATAAATTGTGGGTTTAATCCTTCCAAGTGAAACATCAACTAAGTTTATCCAGTCAGTTAACACTTAAGATTTCTTTTCTCCCTTCAACTCATTGCTTAATCATGCTAATCTTATGATATGGTTGACTGTGACAAGAAATAAATTAAAGTCAGATCAGTTCAAGTGGATTACAGATGGTTTAAGATTTCTGGCTTGAAAATAATGAAATAATTCCACATTTTCAGTTCATTGGACAAATCTCTAGCTTGCACTGCCTTAGATCACATTATAAATGTGTCTTTAGACACTTTGTAATTACAGGGGACCAACATTTCTGCAAGGGATAATGTAGCATAACTATCCAATATTAAACCAAAAATCATTATGGAATTATTCTTTAACTACACAAAACCTTCTGCATCTTCCAACACCATGCAGAGAGCAGGATTGTCCTCTAGGTTTTACTCTTAAAAAATCCATTTTTTTTATCAATATGATGTGAGAAAAAAAATACAGTATTTAGGCATAAAATATTCTCAACTATATATAGCTAATACTTGCTATGTTACTACACCATAGCTAATGCCCACTCTGAAAAAACAGAACTCATCTTGCATAGGAAATACAGTCTCTTGCTCTTCCCTCCTCAGCTCTGTGCTGAGGGGAGTAGAACATTTCAGCCCAGATCCTCCCCAGGGAGCAAATGTGAGTAAGGACTTTCATCTGCACAATTTGGCGAGACCAGGCAAGATTTTTTTTATTCCAGTGATGACTCAGGCATAACTTATTCACTTGGAAATTAAAATGTTTTTCATTTATTCATTTCCCAAAATGAGAGGATGCCAGGGCTGCAGAAATGCTGGAAGTTCATAAGTACACTGGTGTGCCAAGTACAAAAGTGTCTAGTGCTGGAGGAGCAGGGAAATACCTTATGTTTCTTCACTTGGATGTGCAAAATTAGTGAATGTTTTCAGATCATGGCAATGTTACTGTACTCAGACTCCTGTTCTCTGATCTGTGGCATGAGGACAACACAAACATCTGCTGAAGCATTTTTGATGGATTATAGGGTGTTAGAGTAACAGGAATAGCACGTAAACATATCAAATGAAACTATTCATTATCAAAATTAGAGCTTAGATCAGACTGAGTGTGATCTATGACCTCATACCGAGTAAGAAAAATACAAATGCATGTTGAATAAACAGTGCCAGCTGGTCTTAATAATGTGTAGAAAAATAGTATCTTGTCAAACATATATATACAGGATTAATCTAAACCAAGGATCAAGGGGCAATTTTCATTTTAGAGTTCCCTTAGATATTTCTTCCCTTTGAAAGCTTTTCAGTTGTTTTAATGTGTTTTGATTGAGCAAATATGCACACGGTTTTTCAGATAGTGTTGTATGAAATTACACCCAGAATTAATTGCAGCCTTTCCCATGCTTTCAATTCAAAGTCTATACAAAACCTGACTCGATTTTTCAGCACCCTCTAGAGTAAGCAGAAAGATCCAGCAGCCTTTCCTTTCATAGCTAAAGTAATGCCATCCTTTTTTTGCCATTTTGTTGGATTTTCTGATACTCTGAACCTTTAAAAATATTATGGAAGTATTGACACATGATAAATTATTAAATAAGTGTTCATATTATAAAAACATTCCTTCAGGTACTTTCACATAAAAACCTTACTTCAGAAAACAAAAGCCAATCAAACCAATTGTAACCTGGCAACCAGGGACAATATTCCTACTGAAGTGTAACTTTACAAGCCAGTGGCTGATGCTTTACCCACTGCAGTGGGAGTCTCTGGGTAGCTGCAGTGGGAGTCTCTGGAAGAAGAGCTGCAAGGTTTAGCCAGTTCTGTGTTCATCAATCTTACTAGAAAATTGAGTAATCGTCTACATGAGGGTGGGTCAGCTCCTTCTGCCTCTCTCACAGATCCTCCACTGTGCTCTCTACTGTCTGTCTTCTCTTTACAGTTTTCTGTCTTTTTACACTGGGGCTTTATATCTTGGATTCTTGACTTGCTCATCTCAATACTGTCACTTTTTAATGCAATTTTAATTCTCATAATTTAATGAGATTTTCAGTAATCTGAGCTAAATGCATGGAGCTCAAGCCTAGCCCTTGGGTCACAGACAGCTAAGTCCATGGGAGATTAATAACAAATTATAAGAGCCCACTGGTGTTTCCCCCATGCCCCAGCCTGCTCTGATCTCACACTTCAGCCCAGCCCAGCTCAGTCCCCAGCTGAGCTCTCCCAGGCAGGTTATGCCAGTGCTGTGAAAGGCAACACCATCTACAGAGCTCCCAGTGCTCATCCAAGTGTAACTCCAGTGCCCTCCCAGAGCACGTCTGGGCTGCTTTGTTGGTGTTGCTAAAACACCAGAATTCAGCTGCAGCAAGGACCCAACAAACAGCAGTCACCAATAACTCCTAGTGGGAAGTTGAGGGTTATGAAAGTTAGTTTTCTGTTTCTATGACAGTAAATTTTGTCTTTTAGGGTGGCAATAAACTGCCAAGAAAAGGTCACCATTTCCCTCTCAGTTTACAGTGTTAATTCATTATTCATCATACAGAATTAGAGAGCTTAACTGAAGGTCTCGGAGAGAAGTCTCAAGCAGTACACCATAGAAGTTCACTAGCTAAGATGCTGTTGATTCTTTAAAAGTGAGATATAACTCACTCTAAAAAAAGCAGTTTGACAGATTTTTTCCCCAAAGCATGCTAATTTTTTTGCAAGAACAATATAAGAATAATTGAACATGGGCTCGATGTCTGGAAGCTACACTTGATACAGAGCTTTTTATTATTATCATTATTAATGTCATAATATGTTTGCTGCTGCAACCAAAAACTTCGTTAAACAGGTTGGTGATGGAGGAAGATTAGTTCCAGTGCCCAGCCTCAGTGAAGCTGACAGATACCAACCTCTGAGCCTTGTGATTAAAAAAAGAAAATGTTTGCTTTCAAAAAAATCTAAATTTGCTTCAACACCTTTCACATTAAAAGACATTCTTCAAGGGGAGAAAGAAATTTCTGCAGGTAAGATTTTTATCTTTCTTCGAGGTGGAAAAATGCATGTTTTCTAGTAAAGACATAGTAAACATAGTTTAAACTGTGCAGGTAGTATGATGTTTCCTTTAGTAAATGGGTAATAACATTTTTCTAGCTTAGTCATGTAATAAATATTTAAGAAAAAAAACAAATAAAAAAATGATACAAATCAAAATGGTAAGGCAAAAGGGAAAAAATGACTTTCTGGGAAAAGAGTAAAAAAAAAAAAGAAAGTAATTTATACTAAAAAGCCTTGATATTTTCTGAGCTAGTATTAAACAAATTCAGTTAAGCCTTTTTATTTTTCACAAACCACAAATTCCTGACAGAGGTACTAATGGATGTTGATTAACTGCTACATAAAACTTATTTAGAAATGTACCCCTTTGTCTCTATACTCACTTTTAAGTGTGTAAGAATGGCCTCAGCTCTGCAGCTCTTCCATGCTGGCAGTCCCTGGTGCTGAACTGACCTCTGCACAGGCAAAAGCATTTGAAAACAGCTATTACATCTGACTGGTGTAACTGGATTTTCATAAGACTTTTTCCACATTTGCAATCTTTGTGATGTATATAAAGAGCTTAACTGTTTTAAAATTCCCTTTTCTATGCCAGAGTGTAAATTTTGAGGAGATTCTAACAGAATTATGAGGCGCAAAATTGAACTATACTGCCTTTATCTTCCTGTACATTCCTTTGAAAAGTGTGTAATTCATGTCTACAGGTTTTCTCAATACAGTTTCACTGCTTTTTTTTTTTAATGTCAATTTTGGCAAAATTATTGATGATATTACTTGCACAACAAATGCATCAGTTAAAAACTCTACTAAGACAAACTAAACAGGAAATACCACTTGATCCCAGAAGAGGGATTTCAGGACACAAGCATGAAAAGAAAAAATTTAATCCTGAATCTTACATTCAGAAGAAGTCATCTGGCTTGTCCTGAATGAAAAAAAAAAACAAAAAACCAAAAACAAACAAAAAAAACCCCACCTCATTTAAATGTCTGTAAAAACGTTGCAAAATCTCATTAAAAATTCTCACAAAACCTTACTAGTCTTTTCTGTAAAGGTTAAATGTTGTGCGCAGAAAGTATTAAGAAAATCCTTTAACATAACCAAAGAGGTTTGTAATTGAATTTCCTTTTTTATGTGGCAAAGACAAGCATTTCCAATCTTTTTAGTATTATGAAAAATATATTAAGCTTCTTTTTGGTCAAAAAATAAAAATAAACAGGATTCATAGTAGGTGATTTAATAAGTCAGTTTATCCTAATATCTGCAAGGATTAAAAACAAAAAACGAGTAAACCACAGATTCTTACATGTACTTGGAAATCTAATCCCTGTGTTCATTTTAATTTGGTAACCAATGTGTTCTAGTATTTCTTCTGTTAGTGTAATGGAAATGTATTTGATATTATAAAGACATTTTTGTAGAGGTGCTTTGGTACCTACTTTTTGATTTACAATAATTGTATGCAAACTTTCATCAAGTCAGAATTAATGTGTTGTTTTCCTTTAAAATAAACAGACATAGTTGTTGGGCAGAGTTAATGTTACTGGTACACCTATGTCTCATTCATGTATTGCAAAAATGAAGAAAAATTAGGGTATTTGTAGGGCATCTAGATGAATTTCAGAATTCCATAGTATTCTTTATACAGTGGCTTTCATTTTATTCCTAGCTTTAATATTCTGTGTGGCCTCCACTGAATCATTTTGGGTTTCAGAGCTTCTGTCATTAAAGCCAAAACATACTACATGTGTAGTTTATATGTATCAGCATCATAATTACAGGTGGAAGTACTTGAGGAGAATAATGATGAACACAGAAATTTGAAAATAGCTCTAGTCAAACCCAGGACTCCAATGTACTCTTTCCACCAATCATCAATAGTAACACCAATAAACAAGTGCTCGATGTATTTCTGATTTTCATATCAAAATGGTAAGCATGGTAGGAATGGTACTATTTATTCTTGCTATGTGAAAATCCTGTGTTCAGACTTTTCATCACACACAGGTTATCTTCTTTCACTCAGGTGTCTCGTCTTACCAGTTGCTCAACTATGAAGACAAATCAGATGTTTCGCTTAATGGCAGAAGAGGAAATCAGATAATGAATGATGTTGGTTTTGATGTTGCTGGATCAGATTCTGTTGCCTTTAAAGCTTCTTTTGGCATAGTGACCAAACACGAAGTCGAAGTACCAACATTACTTAAAGAACTCACTACAAGGTTGTATTCTGTGCTTTGATTTCTGTTTCTATAATTCTTAATTCATAATTCATAATTTCCATAATGATTTCATACAGTTAGGCTGAAAGTCCAAAGTTGTTAGGTTTTGATTATTTTTAGTCAATCAGTAGCAGTCACCATCAGATATTTTCAAGGGTATCACGTTGGATCACTGGGATAAGACACATGACCTGCATAATACAGGCTGTACAATTTTCTGAATTATTTGAATTACGGTGCATCCCGGTAAATTGTTTACTATGCATGATGCAACATTTGGCATTTACAAATATATATTGTTACCTTGTTGGTATTTACCAAGAAGTGCATGCCATTTTGTATCTGCAACCTGTCTTTCCATATTTTCCTAGTTTATTCGTAACCTTCAAATGTTATCATTAATAACCGTGAGTGAGGAAAGAGGATCTAGTCTCCTCAAAAAAAGATTCAGTATTATAGAACTAACTGCCATTTTTTGTAGAAATTCTTCTACAAGCATTTGTTTCATGATTGTTTAAAAGCGATATAGGGTTTTTTTCAGTTAATGGCACTAAAACCAGAGTCAGATGGACAGGCTTTGAATTTTCCAGGGTGTCCAGATATCCTCCGTAATATCTGTAGAATACTGGCTTTCCTTGAATTTTTTACTTCTGTTGCCAAACACTGAAAATCAATATTAAGTTTCCAGAGATTTCCTTGGTCAGTTGTTTTACTGCTATGAAACAGGTATTATGGTGATTTGTTTACTGATTTAATGTTACTTAGCTGCTTTGAAAATGGCTAATTATGTCTTAATTTCCTTCCTGCCTCCCTCTTGGTTTTAGAAAAATAAACTTTGATCATTGCCTAGTCCAGCAATCAAGAAAAAGTAGGATGGAAATTTTGTGTGTGGTCATGGAAAGTATTCGAACTACAAGGCAGTGCTCATTAACTGTCCATACTGGAATGCGTGGAGAGACAATGAGGGTAAATATGTTTGGCAAAGTTCTGTAACTCAAATGATCAAGCATAAAAAGCTCATTATTATACATGTAGTGGTTTGATTTAATTGTGTTTTTATAATATAAACTCAGAAAAAATCTCAAGTAAATCAATACTACTGTACTGATGCAAAGTGGTTTAAAAGTTGGTCTTTTGTTAGCAGTGCTTATAGGACAGAGGGATGGGAAATGCATGAAAGGATGGCTAGACAATGAGCCATTGCTTGGGGTGAAGCCTCTGCAAAAATGTGGAATTTACTACTTCTTAGTTTGACCTTCTAATAAATGTATAACCTTTCTTTCATTATTATGGTAATCTTCTGTAACATATTGGAATTTCAGGTGATTACTTGAAGGGTCGGCATCTTACTCCTTGTCTTATGCTCTTCCTCCCCCTTCCTTCTCGATGTGTTTGAATAATTAAACTTACAAGTCTTCTAACTTCACTTTTTCTAGTATTATTAAATCATCCACATAATTTTCAGTAAGTGATGCAAATTGCTCTCTCTGTATCAAAATTTATTAAAATGCAAAGTAATTAATAGAAAATTCTTCAGTTGTGAAATTTGATCTTCAATTTCAAATTTCCCCCCTGGCATTGTAATTCTCAATATATGAATTTAAGATTAGTACTTTGTTTATTTATTCATTTCAATGTCTAACGTTTTTTCTTTTGATCCTTCTCTAAATTATAGTTTCACATAATTGAAGATCAGAATTATAAAGGGCGGGACAAAGCCATTGTTTTTCCTGCACATACAACTATTGCTTTTAGTGTATTTGAACTCTACATTCATTTGGATGGTAATTTCGGTAAGTGATGTGAATTACTGTCATTACTGCTATTATTTATAATGATCTAAGTTTTTAAAACTGCTTTATTGCTCTTGATATACATAAGCCCTGATCCCATACAATGGGATGCTTTAATTTTATGCACATAAGTATTCTGACATTCTGACAGAAACAGTGCTTGAAAAGAAAAACAAGGCAGGTGCTAGGAAATAGTCTGCTGTGGGAACATTTCTTAAAAGTTAGACTTGGTATTTTTTAAATTCTGTGGTGGCATGGAACAAAAAGCCCCACTTAGTTATATTTCTAGCTGGTGAGAAACGGGTTTCTGAGACTACCTGATCAGTTTTGCATAAAATAGGCAAGTACAAAGATACAAGTAAAGAAAAAAGTGTACAGAACTTCTAAACTACTAATATTTTTTTCTGTTGGGGCTTTAATTTCAATCTGATACATCATTTGCACATATAAATATCTAAAGCTATTTAGGAGGAATTAATTGCAGCAATTGAAAACAAATAAAAAATTTGCATAGCATAGATTTTACCTTAAAGTATTTCTTTCAAGTTATGGATAGAATTCAGTATCAGAAGTGGTAAGTACAGAATTCACAGCCTTGCTTACTATGTTCCATTTCTGCTTTCAAGTAAGAATACAGAAATGTTTGTCCTTCAGAATCAGGGCTTCCATTGTTATGCTACTGACCGTTCTGACCCCTTAACATGACCATAATTTGTGCATGAACCAAAACAGGCTCTGAGGATGTTAATTGAAAGCCACCAACAGTTAAAAATTCCCATAAAATCTGTGTTACTTGATTCTGTGGGCAATTACTGCATGCAGACTTGTATTAAAAAGTTATACTAGCCATTAAAAATATTAGCAAAGCTAGATTTAATCACTGTTAACTTTTTTGATTAGAAAGCATATTAAATTGTTGTGCAATTATGGCTTTTATATTTAGTCGTTTTAAAAACTTTTCATTTTTACAGAACTTTGTGTGACTCCAATTGCAAAAGGAGGATTTGAAAGAGAGAAATCTGGATCATCTTCACTGACCAAATTCAGGAGATTAAAGAATAATCTGTTTCATCGAAGTACGACTTTTGACATTTATATACAAATGTCTTATTTAAAAGTGTATCTTTGTTTCTTTAATTTCTGACCAAGATGAATGTTTAAAGCAAAAAAAATTTGACGCAAAATGTACCTCTCAATTTCTAGTGTATTGAAATGATTATAGAGTTATTAAAATTTACATTTGAGAACCTGTCTCTCAGAAATAACAAAGCTTTTCTTTAAATTCTAAAGATCTTAAAATGTATGGCTGTTGATAAACTGGTAATGAGTAATTACACAGTTAACATTGAGCCTATTTCATGTGTTTGCCATTTATAGCTTGTATTATACAAGTTATAATTATAGTAATATTTGAAGGCAAAAGCTGTAAATATTTTTGTAAATATCAAACAATATTAACTGCAATAATTGAATGTACTCCTTAGGCACTATGTTCCCATGGCAGGATACCATCATAGTCCTCTTTTCTCATTCTAATATGAACATAACATCCAATAAAAATGCAGATCCCTGTATGCAGCTTTAGACCAAGATCTTAAACTTGTAACATTCCTTGGTCCAAGTACGTTGGAAATCTGCAGATCTGAGTATGAAGATAAACGCTGAGCAGTAAACATGTCCCAAAAGCTGGTGTGTGTAGGTGTTCTTCCTCCACTGTATCCCATTCTTGATCAAAGAATTTTTATGGACCAAGCCTTTAGTGCTGCTCCAGTCCACACAAGGGGAATAAATCTTCAGTGGGTATGATACATCTCAGGAGCTGTAGCTGCCTGAAAGTTCTTCACTCAATCTAGTCAGTCACTGAAGAGAAAGGGAAAGGCAGGTAGTTCCTACCTGGCACATCTGGATACTCAGAAATCTGCTAGGAGGTTAACAAGGAGTGAATTTTCTAAACATATTAAATATTAGTGGGATTTTTTGGTAAATAATAAGAAATGAAAGTGAATGTACAATGTTTAGAAAATAAAACTAGAAATGAAAAAATAAAAACAAGTACACAGCTGTGGTTTGATTTTGCACCAATTTCTCAGAAGCCTGCCTCATGCCTATCCTTCAGGTATATTTCTAAAAATATAATTACATAGGTCACATACAAAAATTTCTAGCTTTTGTCATTGTCTTAAGCGAAGTTGAAGAAAAATTTTTATCATACAGGGTTTTTGATGGGAAGCAATCTATATGGCATGCTTATAACAGTTTTGTGCATCAGTTGTTATTTCTATAATTAAACTGATATTTTTTAAACAACAGCTCGTAAGGTAATAACAAAATACTGCTTCTTTTCCTTGTGTGCTCTTTTTCAGATAAAGGAGTAGTGGAAATCGTTGCTAACTCTGATCCTTACTTGGAGGACCTTTTTGCAGATTATTATGAAAAAGCTGCAAGCATGACTGATCTCTCCACAAGCTATCTCAGAGACGGTTCTCATATCCGAATTAATTTACTTAATAACAACATCCCCAAAGGGCCCTGTGTCCTTTGTGGAATGGGAAGTTCAAAAAGGGAGACAGTCTATGGATGTGTGGAGTGCTCTTTTAATGGACAGAAGTACGTACGCCTGCATGCCGTGCCCTGTTTTGACCTCTGGCATAAGAGAATGAAGTAACTGATCTGGGAAAGTGCCTGTTATCACAGACATGGGCATAACTGTGCCACAAACTTTCTGGAGTTAGTGAATATGTCTCCAATTGAGAAATGCAAAACAATGGAAGTGCAAAACATTTTATTATGCTGTTATCTTCAAATTCTTTGCTTCACAGTCAACCTCTACTTTAAAATGCACATGAATTTCCTGACATTGCTGTTTTTTGTAGAACTTTCTCATTATCATAATTAAAAACATACTTTTAAATAGTATTTTCTAATGTCAAAATATATGCTAGAACTTAAAGTTGTTTATACAAACTTATTGTTAAACCCCAAAATGTTGCCTTTCTTTACACTGGCATATGATGGTTAAATGAGAATATTTGTTAATAATTTAGTGTTCTCATGAATGTTTAATTGAAGTATCAGATTAAAAACCATGCTAAAACTTAGCTCAGTCTAATGTTTCAGTTACCAGAGGGAACAACTGGAACTATGGATGGGAGCTTCATATTAGGGTGCTGTTGCCTAATATCAAGCTTGTTTAATTATGAAAAAGTACCAGCCAGTTTACCTGCTGCAGTTGGATTCTACGTCACAGCTGCTCTGTTCTTTTATGTGCTCAGAAAAATACCTGCTTAGCAGAAAATGTTTTGGAAGCTTATGAAAATAATAGAACTGCTCACTCCAGGAAGACTTCATGGGTGAAGGTCTTTAACAGCTGCATCCCAGCCTCAGGAAATTGAGTCTATTGAGGACTGGAACAACACAGAGCTCTGTCCAGGGCTGGGACCAGGCTGCGGGACAGGGCACTGTTAAACTTGTCACTGCACTGTTTTACACTGGCAGAGCAAAAAACCTTTTTATACCTTTTAAAATTATTTCAAGGATAACCCAGTATGGAAGCTTTTTTCACTTGTGCTGCTACTTTCACTGTGTACATCTGATTATTACATGTTGAAGTGAATACAGCCACTGCTTTTTATGTGAGAAGAGTGAAGTATGTTACACAAGCATTATGATGTGTTCTGCACAAGCAGAACAGTTAACAGATAAAAGTACTGTCTATTAACTATTGCTACTTTGCATTTTCCCAGTGAGGAAAACCAGAATGATGCCCTAATAATTATTTATGTTTTTATACAGCATCTCCCATCATCTTCAACCTCATTCAATTAAATTATGATAGTGTAGATTTTTAACTTGGTGCTGCTGAACAAACTGGCTAACCTGACCATTTTACTAAGCCAAAGTTAAAACACTCCCTTAAAGTACTGCTTTTTCTTCAACATCAAATTCTTTATGTTAATATTACATCAAAGAGGTTATTTTAAAAACATTTTTTTGTTTTTATCTTAACATTCCATAGACAAAGTTTGCCCATTTTAATGCCTTTTATAGTTAATTGCTGCAAATGGCCTTTCCTCAAGAAACTAGGCTAGAAGCCTGCAGGGGTCTAAGAGCTGTATTCCTGGGATTCTGTTTTCCCCCTCTTCATTTTATAGGGGACTGAGAAGTGTTCAGCAGTTACACTCCAGCTATGTCAAAGGTTACTGTAGCTTTTGTGTCCTCAATTGAACAGAAATAATTATTTTCATCAGTATTTCACCAAATGAGGGACTACTGAGCAATACTGTAGGATTGGAACATGTTGTAGGAACCACAAATATTATGGTGTACTTCGATTTTATTTCTTTCTTTTGAAATATCTGACACATTTTATTAGCTGAATGTTAAAAATAAGATTTTTACAGTCACCTTAAGAGATATAAAAAGATTCCACTATAAAAAAAATACAAAAATTCTGTGACAAAGTATTATTATTTAGAATTCAGTGTGCAGAAAACAGCCAAAATTTTTTTAAAATACTTAGAGTTCATCATGCTGGTAGACATTGTACTCCTTTGCTGATATGAAGCCATCTCCATCATGGTCATTCTTCTTAAATATATCAGCTAAGATTTCATCATGGGCGGAGGGATGACGCTTTTTGCCATCTCTTGCAAACTCTTCTTTCAAATACTGGCTTATCTAGAAGAAAAGTAAAAGTCAAATCATTGTGACTTTTATGCTAGCACTCAATTTAGCCGTCTTCAGGGACACGGGGGATATACAAGTAATGTATTGTGATTCCAGTGCAGACACATCTACAGCTTGTCTACAGGAAGTGTGAGACTTATTAATGTATTAAAGCAAATTTCAGCAACCTACAGCACAGTGTAGTTTGTGTAAACACACAGAAACCTTACATGATCAGCTGCAGCAGAGGCAGCTCATGTAAAGGTAACACTGATGCCGCCACACCTATAGTTTTATAAATTATTTGTACCATATTACCTCAAGTTCAGAGAGTTTCTTGTCGCCGTCTTTGTCTATTTGATTGAATGCTTCAACACTACGAGGTCCTTTATTTACTGCATAAAGTTCAATCTCAAAGATCAGTGTTGCATTGGGTGGAATCTTAACGTGTGCTATGAATAAAGGAAAAAAAAAAGTGTTTAAGGAATCAGACACTATGGACAGAGATCACATGTATGATAAATTCACAGGTAAAGCATTTCTTTATTAAAAAAGGCTGTGTTAATATTCAGATTAAACTCCAAATTCAAATGTTGTACATCTAGACAGGAAGATTGTTTGATTGTGTTAGATAAATTATTTCAGAAGAAACTTGCTAATCATGTACCTGCCTGAAACAAAACTGTACTGCATACCAATTCAGGTACTTTCAGAGATTAGATGACTGGTTATCATGAAAAACAAATACTTCTAAAGTTCTCATTCTTTCACATCCTGTCATATGACAGGGCTTATTTAGAGACTTGTTCTAAGATATATGTCTTTATTAAACAGCTGCAATCTGATTTAAAACATAACAGTAGTTCAATGCTCCTGTGCATTGTCTGTCTGAAGAAACAGACCATACAATGTTTTACCTACTTTGTATGAATTATACCTATGAATTTACCTATGGTAAAAAGTATTTTATGTATGCTGTAAAATAATGTTTAAAATGTACATCTCAAAAAGCAGCAACAGGATGTAAGTCATCTGACTTGCAAAAAATCCCCATAGAAACTTCAAACTACTGGAACACTTTGTCTGGCCTCTGAATTAAGAAAACAACTGTAAGAATTCTTTGTTCCTGGATCAAAGCATTTTCTGCCACCTGATGTAAAACCAGCACTGCCTACAAACACAGGTTCATGTACCATGCATCTGGCAAAAAAGGGGAACTGAAAACAGACAGCAACAAATGCAGTCTAAAAATGGTGCCAAAAGAGCATAAAGAAATCATGCAGTATAAAATTAAAATGTAAACATGCAAGCTGCCAAAGCCAGTGAGCATGACACTGTAACCTCAGAATTTTGAGCTTGTGTTCATCCTTCATAAACTGAAGAAAAGCTGAAGAATCTACACTGTTTTTAAACAGAAGATAAACAAAACTCTGACACTACTCATCTAAAATAGCCATAGTAAAAACAACAGGTTTCAGAGTTCAAAAAGTTTTAACTTTCCATGCTTTAGAAAAGAAGAAATTTTAAATTCATCTGAATATAAATAATTATTTAAATACACCTTACAAAAGAAAGATACAATACTAGAATTTAGTGCCAGCAGTTTACAAATATACATACCAACAAAGGAAAGACATGTAAAGATTTAGAAAGCCACATGCATCTTTTCTAATTCAAGATTAGGCAGGTATCTTCCCCAGCATGCAGGAATACGCTGAGACAGAGGACAGGTGTGCTGTAGGAAAATGCTACTTCCTTCAAGTGCTACCTGGAACAAACAGTTAATATTAGTATTAAAGAGCATTCTTTTATTTGTATCAGTGTTTTTCCTTTTTGTATGAAATTGTATTAAAGACAAAACTGATGCATTGAATTCTGACATATCAGTACCAGAGTATTACTACAGAGCAAGAGCTACCTTTTCACAGAAACTACTACACCCAGGTCAGAGCTGACTTTATCTACATTTGAGTGCTGAAACACTGCATAGAACTTGTACTGGGACTTTTTTTTAAGTAACCTGCACACTGAATTATCTTATATTCAAATCAGATTTCATTTATTGCACTGTTGCAATTACTGTTACTTGAGAGCCATTAACTATTCAGAATGTAAGCAGTATTTTAAGCAAATTATTACTACTTAGATTAATTGCACTGCGTTATATTTAATTTTACTCAGAAGATGCACATTGTCATTAAAAGGCTAAACAGGTAGCAGTCAATAAAAAACAAATGTGACTGGAATTTAATATATAACACCATAATGCTGATATGGCTCATGGAGATCTTCCTTTTGCTGCCAATTTTTCACACTATGGCAATACTTGGGAAAACACATTGGGCGGTGTGTACTGAGTTCTAATGGAAACTGCAAGGCCTGGGTGTGGGTCTGTGGTCAGGACTACTTAAACTGTGTAGCAATGAGCAGGACTGGGGCTGCACAGCTGCACTGCCTCCAAATGGGAGCACCAGTTCTCACAGACATTTACAATACTATGTATTGTAAGTTTCAAAGGGTAAAAAACACAGGAAAGACAACGTTTAGAGTCAGAACTTCTTTTTTTACCATATCCTTGTTGTCCATATGCTAACGATGGAGGAATTGTCACTTTCCGTTTTTCTCCAGGGCACATATTCATCATAGCAATATCTAAGCCTTTTATGACTTGTCCAACACCCAGAACAAACCATTTTGGATGACCTTCATTTTGCGTCCGACTATTAAAAAAAAATTGTGCATGAGTAACGTTAATATAATATTTTTTAACATCAATATAACTTTTAGTTGCAGTTAGAACATAGATTATTAGCACACAAGAATGTTTAGAGTGCAAGAATACAAAGTATAAACACTTTGCTACATTTATAATTTAAGGTCAAATTTTGATATATGTAAGGGGAAAACCTCCTTTAAAAAAAAAAAGAACACCCTGTTTTTGAATTTCTTACAACAACATCCAGTCTTCCTGATCATGTACACTACATGTCAGAAACAAGGTGCCGCTGCAGGAAGTCTCCAAGAAGAGGAATGTGGGGAGCACTAGAAAATGAAAATGCCTTCAGCAGTTCACAACACAGCAGAATGGGATGGGACTGAGAGTGCAGGTGTGTGCTGGTGGAACCTGGCAATGTTGGCTGTAGGACTGTGTGCTCACCTACCACTCTGGCCAGCCCAGACAGCCAATGTTTGAGGCACCTTCTGGTCTTATGAGGCCTCCCCAGTACAGGCACTACACTGAACAGCAAATGAGCAAAACATCCGGATAACAGTGCTCTATGTACCAGTCAGTCACTGCAACAGGTAAAGAAATGCATGCGAAGTGGTACTGTTAAATGTAGAATTAACCTATATACTAATTTTTTTTCTTAAATTATACAAGTATGGGAATGAATCAAGATTTTGATGAGCTAAGCTACTGAGATAAGCTATT